GACGCGCACGCCATTCGGATCAGGAGTGAGATGACTTACTGGGCCACTTGGGCTGATGACCACACTAGGAGCCATCGGCTGTCCCTGCTTGGTAGGAGTACCTGGACCACCGTTAGCCACCGGTTGACCAGCAACGCTTCGGGGCTGCGAATTGGAGTACTAACCAGGGGGGTAGATTCCGGCCTGCGCAGAACTCTCCGGCGACTTTCCTCTGGTATCATTCACGGAAGTTGTGGACGAGGTCGGGGTGCCCTGGTTGGGGGAAGAAGATTGCTGGCCATGGTGAACTCCGAGGGCGGCGTTGTTCTGGGCGGAGGCGTGGGAAGAGTCTTTCTTCTTGGAGGATTTGTTCGCGTCTTTCGCCCTCGACAACTGCTCGTGCTATGGAGGTCAGCCCAGTTCGGGCGGTCGGCCGGCGAATCTGGAGGGAGATGGCGGAGGCGGGGAACAGCTAAGGGGCGGAAGGCGACGAGGGCGAACTCACCACTCTCTGTCTGAAACCCTTCATCTTGACGACTAAACGAACAGCCACATGTACTCGGTTCGGGGACTCGGTGCCAGTGCAGCAAGAAGCCGCACCCTAGCAGGAGGGATGGAGTCGGGCAGAGCGGAGGCGATTCAGGAGAGCCACGTCGGGATTTGTTTATGTCGGCCTAGGAATGACCACATGAGCATTTGCAGCCACAACACAACGCAGCATAGCGCTTGTTTCGAAATGAAGAGAGACGGTAATCTCCAAGGTGGATTTGTATCGATTTCTTCGGAAGGCAGGCGATGGAAGGTAATGCGTAGGTGGATGGGGGAGGGTGGTGAGGGGAATTATTGAATGCTTGGGACGCAAAGCAGCACCGGGCAGAATAGCGGGCAATTCGAAAGAACAGTCGGTTGGGGTGGTCGAGGGACCGCGGTGAGAGAATTGAAAACAAACAAGGGGTGGATCGGGAAGCAGAAATGGAACAAGAAACTATAAGCTGCAGGACTTACCTTATGAGATTCGAGCTGGGACGATTGGAGAGGGAGTGAGGCGGGGGGGGGGTTCAGATTGTTGGGTGGGAAAGTGGAAAGAGGAGGATCTCTCACACTGCTGTCTCTCACTCTGTCTGTCTCTCGTTGGCGCGAATGGGAGCGGTATAGGGAGTAGCAGCGCAGTTGCCGGTCAGTCAGTTGGCAGTCGGTCGATCGCCTTTGCCGTGGTCGCTTAGCGGGTTTGGCTTAGAGAGCGGGGGTGCAACGAGAGCCCCGGGGGGGGGAAGAGAAAAGTAAATCAAACCGCAGAGTCAACAATCCACGAGGGGCAAAGAAGATGATAATCGATAGAGATGAACGAGATGAGATTGTTTCCAACAGATCGGTCTGACAGACCAGATGAGACACGAGGCGGGGAAGCAAAAAAAAGTAGCGTAGCGTAGAGTAGCGTAGCGTAGCTTAGCTGTCAACGGGATGGAAGAAGTAGTATGAAGGTTTGGGGGGTCTCGGAAGGGGGGTGAGTAAATGAGTGATTGAGAGCGATGGGTGAGCGAGTGAGAGAGCAAGGTTAAGGTCATCGAATGCTGGGATGTGGCTGAGATGAGAAGAAGCGCTCGGACTGGACTGAGTCTTGCTCCTGCACCTGAACTGCAGTTGGTTTCAAAGGAACAGGCAAAGTGAATCACAGTGGTTCCGGTTGGTCTACGGACTACGGAGTACTCTGCACTACAGTATACATACTGTGTACACAGTACATCCAGTACGGAGGTGCATATATGCAATAGAACGTACTGGCACAATTTACATGATACGTGAGATGGATACTAAAGTAGTTGTCTAATGGTCTCCCGAAGTCATCTGATGGTTTACCACGGAAGCACTAATCTCCAGCTAGATTGACGATGGTCTAGTCTGTTCCAGCTCGTCAGTCGTCAGTCTGCGATGAACTGAGGCGTTCCAGTTCGGGATGAGTTTTTCTCCCCTGGATTGTGATTGTGATGCCGGTCACGTGCTGTGCGGATAGATCCCACCACCTCCAATTCCACCTCGACGAGACGAGATTCTCCTGAATAGGTGGTGATAGTCCTGTAGGTTAGTCGCTTCTACCGCTTCTGCAGATTTTGAACAGGGGTCGACCAGAGAATCCCTCTGTGTGGAAGAAGGGATATCACAATTTTCAGCAACTGACGTCACATGAGCGCGCATCTCTCCGTCCGCATACTCTGGTTTACTCCACCGAAAATATATTGAGCACGCGGTCGACCATCGGATCTATAACCGCACCATCAAACGTCATACCACACCCCAAAACACCAAAAAAAATTGCCATGACAGACTCCACGGAGTCCAGAACGGCTCCGTTCTATTCCATCCCCGCTCGCCGCATGGTCAGCGTGGAACATCCCGCTATTATCAAAAATGTCGACAAAGCCCTTGACACCCTCCGCGGCGATGCAGGTATCACGCGAGTAAGCAAAATAGCCTAACAGACTCCAGAATACAAAGATAAGACACCACCTTCTGACAATGCAGACCAGATCCTCAACCCTCCCAAGGCGGACAGCCCGGCTAGGCTCTTCCTCCGGCCGGAGGATGCCATGTCCAGACCGATGAAGTCGATCAGCTCGACGGCCAACAACATCCTGGTCAAGGTCACGGTGCCCAAGCGGACGGGTCGCAAACGCAAGAAGGGCTCCGATGAGCCGTTCACCGGGGTTCCCATCACCACGGGGCATGTGGAAGCGCCGCGACGCAGCGCGCGGGAAGTGCTGCAAAGCCTTCACGACAATGTCGGGAGGTATCAAGTAGAGCCGGTAGGGATGATCGAGCGGACGCATGTGTTTCGAGGTGAGAGCTTTGCTGCCCCATGAAGCCATCGACCGACAGGGCCTAAACGAAATTAGGAATGCCGGACTTTGTCTTCTCGACGGCATCGAGCGCATTTGCAAACAAATTCCGCGAGCATATCTTGCCGTTCGACTGTAAGCCGTTGCATCAGCCTCCAAGCACTATGAACATCAAACTAACCTCCCCCAAAACAGACGAGAAGATGAAGCAATTCGACCTGGACATGACCAAAGGCATCACCTCGAAGGTGGACATCATCCCTCCCCCCTCCTTCAGCCACGGCGACCTGCCCTTCAACTACATGTAAGCCCACCACCACCACCACCAGCACCACCACCACCCCCAAATAACCAAAACTAACACCCCTCCCCAAGCTACCGTCAAAACCCCACCATGCAAAAATCCATCGACACCACCGGCAAAATCACAACCGTGAACACCCAACGCACAGTAAAGGTGCACACGCACCTCGTCCCCTACGACATCCCGGAAGTCCCCACGCAACCGCGGGACAACTGCCCCCCGATCTCGACGCTGGACCCGACGCTCCAAGAAACCATCACGATCCTGCAGGGCCTCTTCAGCTCGCGACCGGCCTGGACGCGACGAGGACTACGCAACGCGCTCCCCACCGTCGAGAAGCGATACGCCCTACGCCACGCTATCCCCTACGTAGGCTACGTCTTCCGCTCCGGGCCGTGGCGCGACGCGATCATCCGGTTCTCGCACGACCCGCGCACCTCACCGGAGAACCACATCTACCAGACACTGATGTTCCAGATCCAACCGCGGGACGCCGACGTCGCGCGCGACGGCTACTTCGGCGCTGGCAGTAGCAGTACCGGCATCAACAACAACAAAGACGGCGCGCGCCGCCACGCCTACTTCCGGCCCAACGAGGTCCCGCAATTCGACCCGACCGCCCCCTTCCACAACCAACTGCACCACCAACCGGGCCAGCTGCCCACGGACACGCACCTCTTCACGGGCCAGCCGCCGCTGGCCCGAGACGGCCGCATGTGGATGTACTGCGACATCCAGGACCCGATCCTCCGCAACATCCTCTTCCCATCCGAAAGCCCGGCCGCACCGCCGCCGCCGGGCTTCCTGCGCGACAGGTGCGACGTCCTGACGGACGGTTGGTACGGGAACGGCACCCTGGCCAAGTTCAAGACCATCATGCGCCACAAGGTGCTGGCGCTGCTGGACGACCGCGCCACCGACGACGCCGAGTTCGCCCAGATCCTCGCCTTGCCGGATTACGCCACCCCGGAGTCCATCAACACCGACTTCTGGTTGGATCCCGCCACCGCCACCTCCAAGAGCACCATGATGGCCACGGAGATCCGCGCTATCATCAAGAGTGCGCCGGCATTTCGGGAGCGGGCCGCCGCGGATAAGCGCGCGGGCAAGCGACGGAGGGGGAGGGGGATGGCTACGCGGCGGAGTGCGGCGGGGCGCCGCGTGCAGTTCCGGGAGGATGTGGTTGGTGGGGAGGAAGAGGAGGTGGAGGGGGACGGGGAGGAAGAGGAAGAGGAAGACGAGGAGCAAATAGATACACAGGGAATGGAGGTTGGGGAGGAGATGGGTGAAGGGGAGGAGGAGGCTTATGAGCAGGAGGAGTTGTTGGAGGCCCAAGCGGCGGAAGCGGCCGCTGCGGTGTCGGCTGCAGTGGAGGAGGATGAGGATGAGGCGGATGAGGAGGATGATGAGGGCGAGAGTGAGCAAGATGAGGACATTGATACCTTCAGATGATTACGACTATCTGGGAGCTGAGATACAATTGAAGTACACAACTATATTACCAAGGTATCAGATTGTATCAAGTTTCATTTATTGTAGCTAGCTAAATTTATTCTAAGTTTAAATAGGTAGTAGAAGTAGGTGGTTCGTATAAGACATTAAACGGCATGACACATTCTCTGGCCATTAGCTGATACATGCGGACACAGGCGTTGGTTGAGTTATGAGCGAAGGAAAGAGTTAGTGATATGAGCTGTCCAGCCTCGGATAAATATAGGTCGCGCGGTGTAGGTAGTATGGTCAAGGTAGACGAGAGAAGGAACATAGGCCTGCGAACGCGAAGGAGCACAAGGGGAGGGTTGCTGAGTCGTGGTGATGTAGGTCGAAGAGGATGAGATCAACATAGAAAAGAAAATCAGAATGACAGTAGCCAGTAGGGTATCCATATAATGCAGTGCACTCTCGAGCTTTCCAGACGCCAAAACAAAGACAACAACAAAATAACAACCAATAGAACACCTTTTTGGCGATGCAAAGGGCGCATCAAGCGCGAATGAATGACTCAAGCAGCTGCTTCATCTGCCTCGGCTGCTTCTTCCGCAGCACTTGCGCTTTCCCAGATCTCGATTTCAGCCTCCGTTGGCTCCAACTTGGCGTCGGTGGTGGCCTCGGATGGAAGAGAGGCCTCAAGGAGGGAGGATATGGAAGAAACGCTCGAAAGCTTGCTGGGGATGGACCGAGGGCTAGTGCGCGGCAAACGGTGGAGTGGCGCCTTCTTGTCGGCGCCGTCTGTCTCCTCATCATCATAAATGACGACATACGAGAAAGCATGGCAATCATCGCCGTAAAAGTCAGCGGCATTCAGGTCCCCGAGAGGCGCTCGGGACTCCTCCATCATGACCGATTTGCGTGCTGCGGCGGCAGGAGACTCCTGCTCGCGAGAGCGTGGCAGATCCAGTCCCAGTTCCACGGGAGGAACGTTCTCCTTGCCACGGCCCGAGGTCTGTACTTTGCCCTCCTGGTCATTGATGTCCAGGACGCAAGTAGAGTGTTGCATCAGGTTCGTCATTTCTTCTTGTTCGTTATCAACATAGATATCGAACGCCCAGGAGGCTGGTGCTTTGGGATTGGACTGGCGCTTGGGCTTTGGACCCGACAAGGCAGCCGCGAGGGAGAAGGGGCGGTGAACGGCTTTCCGACCGGTCGATTCAAGTCGGCTCTTAGCGATGGTGGAACGTCGAGAGGAAGATTTGCATGACTTTGGTTGAGGCGAGCGTCCAGCAGGCTTGAGGATGGGAGCCGACTTGGGAGTAGACAGAATCGGCTTGGTTGGCGTTTCAGGCATACGAGGAGCAGAGCTTGGTTCGAGAGTGGTCAGAACCACGCGAGAGGTCTTGGACGGCTTTGAAGAAATCTTGATCGCTGGTTCAGAGTCGTCGTCGTCCATAGTCCGCTTCCGCTTGGTTGAGAGCTTAAGAGTGACTGGGTCGATATTCTCCGAGTCAACCTCCATTGTTGGCTGGGGTTTTTTGGACAAGATGGCACCTGAACCACGGCAGTCAGTACCCCAATCAGGAGACGGATGAAGCGGAGATGATGGGTCACAAAACATACCGTCTTGTTTGTTTTTCAAATTCAGCTTGGACCGGAGCAAGGAACGCATGCGAGGTGCATCCAGGCTGGCGAAAGGCTGGCGAACGGCGGTCGGGGTCATTGTAAGAGCGGCCATGTCGACGAGGGGTGGTGGTGGTCGCAAGCACCAATTGAGAAGATTTTGTTGGAGGTGGAAGAAGGGGAAAGGGTTGAAGATGTAAAAATAGGAGCGAGCGACCGACAGGGACCGGCCGGGGCAATGAATCGGGCGTTGCAGTGACTGAGAGACAAGTCTGTTTTGGTCAACGCCGTGGAGTACCGGGCAGGATGGAAGGTGATTGGCGGCGGAGGATGATCGACGGGATTAGGAGCGAATCGAGAAGCGAATCGAGACAGCAAGCAAATGAGAATATCCGTAGTATGTATGTAATTGATGTGTGTTTCAATAAAGTTAATACGAGCTGGACCACGATCTCGTTATCGGAGCCAGCCAAGTCACTCGAGCGGGGGGTGGATGTGACAGAGAAAAGGGAAACGAGCGAGCCGGCGGAAGGAAGATATAAAGAGTTTCAACCAGGCAAGGGTTGAGGTGGGTGAAGTAGACAGACGGTTGGGGGGGAGGCAGGAGATCGGTAACGGGATAATCAAGTAAGTCGTACGCCTCTCACGTACACTGAAAGGTATCTAGAAGGTCATTCCTGCCTGCACAGTGACTGGAACGAGGAAGGTAGGGGTAAGTGGGTGGGAGGGGTGGGAAGGTGAAGGTGATGATGAAAGTGGCAGTGATAATGGGTGGTAAGGGGAGGGACCATGGGAGTCTGTAATGTATAAGTAGGCATGGAGAATGTGGGAGTTGGGGAGGAAGTTGGAAGGAAGTCGAGGAAAGTCGAGAAAAGTCGCGTCAAGTTCGTGTTTATTCCTTGGCCCAAAAGGGTAATAGTGGTAACATTCAATCCAAGTTTACCTTCAGCTTTGCCCAGTAACTTCACTCCAGTAAGCTATACTTCCAGGCATTAATCACCAATTCACCACCAATGCAAGGCTGTAGGCTCCATTATTGCCTGATAATTGGTTGATGCGACAATCGCATTCTCCTCTTTCCCCTCCATCCTCCATCGTCTTGTTCTACGAGTACGGAGTACTCCGTACTCTTCTTTCCTTCTCCCTACACGTCTCGTCTCTTCCCCCCCCCCTCCCCCCTCCACCTCGAGGCGCGTCGCGTTCAGCTTCAATTAAGTTGGCCATGGCCCCTCCAACCCCACGCTTATAATTGAGTTGAAGATCTAACAGCTACAGTACTGATCTAGTGGTTTTAAACATTACTTCTACAGAAATCTTAAGCATGATGAAGTCAATCCAGTCCCTCACGATGGTTGTACAACCTGAAAACCACCGTAGCCCCCACTGATCTTCTTCTTTTCTGACCGTCGCCCATCCCTTCAACGCGTTGCCCATCACGACCCCCTTCCTTTGTCTTGTCGTCTCGTCGCGTCTTCACCACCATTTCTCCTCCTCCACTCCTTCTGCTGCTCCATAGCGCTCGCTGGCTTGGCAACTCTGTCGCGTGTCCGTCAATAGTGGACCACGTCGACATCGGCTCCATCCCATTGTTTCACCAGCTGCATCTGCATCCCTTGAATGCGGCGCTATTGCCGGCGGCTAGATAGATACCAGCCCATTATCCCGTCCTCATCTTCCGTAGTATAGTTTCCCACGGCCACCATACAGTCCCTCTCCTCACCTAGCACCACCAGTTTCAACCTCTCCCAAAGTCTCGGTTGCATTACCGCTGAAACACGGACAGCCCCCTAAAAAGATCCTTACTCGATGCACCTCGAGCTTCCCTCCCACCTAACGTTCTATAATTATCACCACTTGACATTTCATTTCACCTCGCTCCCCTCCCCCCCCATAACTCAAGGGCAACTATGCACGTTGCTACGCGCCGGAACAGGATTACCCCGTGAACCAGCCAGACTGACCGAGGAGGATCTGTGAAGCATTCCTCAGGGGCATTTCTTTTTATGGTTCCCGCCGGCCGTCGGGAGGCGACGCATGTGCTTTAACATATACTCAGTATGGACTATCTGCCATGGCAGTGCGGTGGCGGCACTTCACATTCCATTCTTCGCGACAGCTAGTGACGAACCACCACCGCCCCTCTGCCCTCGAGGATTGGCTATGGCATACATACATACATACTCATGCGGGTCGCCTGCCGAGGATGACTTCGTCTCAAGGTTGCCACGGCGCCGCCGCATGGGGAAATCCGGCTTCTCGACTCAGATACTGACCGTGAAAGGGTACTGTCACCACTGGCCGGGCTGCGGGGAGCACCCTCTTCATATTGCTGCAGCAGGATGATGGATGAGCCCAGAACCACTGGAAGCTTAGTAGCACTAGTCTAATGATGTGCGGTCTTGGGTAGGGCTAGCCGCGCAGCGTGTGTCTGGTGTGGTATGATCCGTAGTGATGAATTATCAAAGCCGCGAACACCCCCTCTCCCCTCGAAGTCTGCAGAGATTAGGGAGTTGAGCGACTTCGGGATCCAAGCACACTCGACACACCAGGACTGCACATGCTGAACAAACTCCCAATACGTGTTTGTTGTGAAAGGCCCAGGCAACAAAAGACGTTCTTGACCCGCGAGTCGGGCTAATTTGCAACCTTGCATTGTGAAGTACGAGTACAAGGTGCTGGACTATGATACAGACCCCGCCGGCTGCCCTGTCCCCGGCCCCCTTACAATCTTCCCCGGTTCGGTGTGCGCTCTCACTGCAGCTGTCATTGGGCTCGCCCGTGGGGTTGAAAAGAGCACTCGAGCATTTCCAAGACAGTCAAGCTCCACCCTCGCATGTCGCGAGCTCACTGACGAGTTATAACTCGATGTGTCTTGTCAATGCGTCCAAAAGAAGATGCCATCAAATCATGATGTGGAGCGCTTGTCTTTAGTTATTATGTGCGTTATATTGATTGTTCTAAATAGATAGGGTTCTCGTAGAATGGGAGAATAACAACACCTGCGCCGTACACCGTTCATCCTCGCTGTGCCCGAAACCCAATTTGGTATGTAAACGAGATTCCGCCAAAAAGAAATTTTCATAATCAGAAAAAGCAGCAAGCAGTCATGACCGTGTCACTGGACGTCAAACCGAGAGAGAGAGAGACCCAGAGGCCAAAAGAAAAAGCAGAGAGACATTACACACCGTGTCGATACACCTGGGTTCCACCCGAGCGGATCTGAACGGTATCCCGGCGTTGCATGACCACCAGAGCCCGGTGGAGGGCTTGTTCGGTGTATCCTCTGCCTTCGACGAACTCGCGTTTCAACGTCGCCAGGCTCGTGCTCCAGCCGATGGGGAGACGGCGCTTCAATTCGTCTTCGATCTTGCTGGCTTCTTCCATCATCTCCTTGCTTCCCTGGCCCTCACCCTGGTTGACGGCGTCCATGGTCGAGGCCAGGAAGAGGCGGATGGCTTCGTCGACGTGAGCCTCCGTTGCGATGGGCGACAGGCTCAATTTAGCTAGCGATTCAGTGATACGCACAATGGCCTCGAGTTGACGAACGGTGATGGGGATGGACGACCGAGTGCCAGCGTCGACTTCGTGACGGTGGACCTGCTTCCGGATCGTGACAAAGTGTGAAGACAACTTTTCGGCTGCTTCATCGGACAGGCGAGGTGCGCAACGGCTGGGGCACTGTTAGCATCTCTATTCATAGCATTCGAAAGGGCGGTGGTAACATACGTGCGACAGTAGCTGATATACCGCTTCATCTTCTCCAAGGGGATCTCCGCTTCGATCTGCTCTTCAATGCCTCGTCCGCCCATGTGAACACCCATGACGTGTCTGGCGATGCTTTCGTCGCGGCTGCGCTCGTGATCATCTCGCACAATGAAGATCATATCGAAACGCGACAAGATAGTAGTCTGGAAATCGATGTTCTCGCCCGGGGTCTTCAAATCATCATAACGTCCGAAGATGGGGTTGGCTGCAGCCAAGACAGACGTCCGGGAGTTGAGGATCGTGGTGATACCGGCCTTGGCGATCGAGATGGTCTGTTGTTCCATGGCTTCGTGGATAGCGACACGATCCTCGTCTCTCATCTTATCAAACTCATCGATACAGACAACTCCGCCGTCGGCGAGCACCATGGCACCTCCTTCCAAGTAGAATTCGCGCGTAACGTGATCACGTTGTACGGAAGCAGTCAAACCCGCCGCGGACGAACCCTTACCGGAGGTATAGATTGCAATTGGCGATACCTTCTCTGTGAACTTGAGTAGTTGCGACTTAGCAGTACCGGGGTCACCAAGCATGAGGACGTTGATATCACCACGAAGTTTCATCCCATCGGGAAGGATCTTCTTCGAGCCACCCATCAGCAGACAGACAATAGCCTTTTTGATATCCAAGTTTCCGTAGATCGACGGGGCGATACTTCGTGCCAAGGCGTCATACAAATCGGGACGACGACTGAGCTCCAGAAACTCTTGTTCTTCCTCCTCAGAGAAAATAGCATTGCCCTTGGCAGTGTGGTCGAGATCCGTGCTGATACCGACCGCCCGCAGATAAGGGTTGCGGATGGCGACTGCTCCGTCCTTCTTTCCGCCCTTTGACGATTGATAGATTGAGAAAATGCCCATGACTGTGCAACGGGAACCAGGTACAACTCGGTTGGCGAGGTAGCGATCGGCAGAAATGAGGACGTGGCGAGGAAGTTCACCCACAGGAACCTGATCAGGCGCCTCCTGCAGCTTCAGGACTTGCTGATCGACAAAGTGGCACTTCTCGTGCGAAACAACATATGGGTCGAGCGGGCACGGCTCCGAGTCAGGATCGCCTGGCTGCCTTTCACGGCCACATTTTCTGGGGAGCTGCATCCCTGCGAATCCACCCTCAACGGTAAGATTTTCGGTATAACCACAGTTCTTGCATCGGAGATGCATCTGGGTAGCTTTGGACGATATCGTCGAGGCGCCGATAACGATACCCGGGATTCGCACGAGATGTGAGATATTGGTAGCGTTGAGGTCTCGGATCGAGATATGTGTTGCGGACGAGTGGAGCAAGAGCTGATGAGGTGGGAGTTCGACGTCTCTTTGGGAGGGATATACAATGCGTCGAGTACATTCTTGAAGGGCTGACTCGAACTGAAGTGGGTAGAAGTACTGGTTAGAGCTGTCTCGACCTAAGAAGGAATCGATGGGCTTACGAGGGGGATGATGTTTGCAGGCTCGGTGGTGAGCTTGTGGGCCAGCTCCTCGTTGTACGAGATCATGTGTGCAATATCAATGTCGCAATAGTATTGCTTGACCAAGACATTTTGTCTCAATTGGTCACTGCGATGGCAAGTCAATATCAAGATGTGGCATACAAGGCGGCGGCGTCAACATACCGATAGATAAATGCATTATCCAACTGAAACTCCAAGACGAACTCCCTCAATTTCGCTTGGATCTGACTGCGAGAGTCATCGACACCATCGACGCTGGGAGCGAGGACGCTCAGAGTGTAGGGGGTGCGTCTATCCATGGTGGTGACGGCAGTGACAAGAGGTGGGGTGGCAGTTGTGATGAGGTGTGTAGGTTTTCGGTGTATCCCGTTGCGAGGAGAAACTGCAAATATCTTCCTGAGCAACGGCACACGAATGGAACGCGTCGCGTCGGTCTCACGCGTTAAGTGGCTTTTGGCCTTAAGGCAAAGATCAATTTAGTTACGGAACAACCCAGCCCCGGGTTCCGAGGGGGCTCGGATGGGTCTTTGTCATCCATCATTCCCGGGGCCTGGCGCCTTACCCGATCGGGTTCGAGCTATCATGAAACCCCCCCCCCCCCCCCGTATCAGATGGAGCTGGGTGACGTTGCAGCAAGAGTCAATTGCTTCCAATTTGCTCCAAACTTGCCCTCTCTTGCCGTTCAATCCTGGTTCCCAGTGGTGAACACTGCTTGTTAGTGAACTGCTGGCGGTCTCTTTCTTGCTATACCACAACTGTCCACTTGTCATGTTCACCTAGTGTTCCCTTCCCAACAGCACGGTGACCGCGGGACTTGTCAGTCGCCAAATCGGCATCAATATGTCCTCTGCCAGTCCCCGGAAGTCGATTGACAGCTTGGCCTCAGGCGCCTCAACTCCTTCTCTATCTCAGTTCTCATTCACACAGATCGAATCCCCTCGGATCTCATCACAAAGATACCCCTTAAGGAGAGGATCAACCGCAAGCTCGATCGCAAGCATTGGGGGAATTCTGGATCCCTCCAGCCGCCATGGGTCTATCGCTGAATCTGGACAGAATGGTACGGCCCAGTTTACTCTACTTCGAACACTGAAGGTTAACCTCATTTCTCAACGACAGCAATCTCTACTCTCCTGCAGCCTCCGATTGTGCGCACGGGTCTTGTGCCTCATACCGCCGTTGGCACCGCCGGATACAAACCACCCACGACTCGTGACATTCCTCCTGTTACCTTGACCAATATACCACATGTGGACTCTAAAGCGTTCGAATCATATCTCTCTCAAGTTGGATCGTTGTATGATGCCTTCCAGCAAGCCAAAGAAAGCAATACAGAGCAGGACTCGCAATTAGTGCGGGCAGGGGGCAAGGCCTCACCGAAGCCGGAAGATGCGGACTCTTTGGCTCCTGCATCGCGGGAACGCCGACCGTCAACTCTATCGAATCACTCTCGAGCGACCTCTCCATATGATACGCGGGGCAGGAGGCGGTCATATGCTGGCCGTGGTCGGGGTCAAGCCGTTACTCCCTTGTCCACAATCCCCACAGTATACTTCGAGGATGACTTCCGTCTCGAGAATCCGCGAACGTTTGATGTGGTGTCGGAGAAGTCTGGAATTTTAACTTCCAAAGACAAATCGGAGAATGGAGCCGCCGTGGAGTCAGCTGCCACGGGGAGGAAGGCTCTCGCTACGAATGCTATATTGCAAGAAAAGCTTTCATGGTACATGGACACCGTGGAAATTCACCTGATCTCTTCTATCTCCACGGCTTCCAAATCTTTCTTTACCGCACTCGGGTCTTTGCGAGAGCTCCATGCAGAAGCCGCCGACTCGGTGAAACGCATCCAAGTCTTGCGGAAGGACCTACAGAAGATTGACCGTGAGATGGCTTTAGGAGGTCTCAAGATTGTGAATCTGCGGCGACGGAGGGAAAATGTACGTATGCTGGCGGATGCCGTGGCACAGCTCCGCGATGTGGTCGAGTCAGTTTCCCGATGTGAAGCGCTCGTCGAGAATGGTAACATCGAGGAGGCTGCCGATGGCCTTGAAGAGGTGGAGAGATTGATGGCGGGGGAACAGGCTGCAAGTCCATTAAAGACAAACGAAGAACAGCAACAATTAAAGAGGACGGTCGACTTACGGCGACTGAAAGCGCTCGAAGGTGCGTCTGAGGATTTGGACCAACTAAGATCTCGAATTGGTAGCGGCTATGAGAGCCGTTTCTTAAGTGACCTTCTCGGCGACCTGAGACAGCACGTTGAGGATGTACCGCTAGATACTACGCTACAGCGATGGGGATTCTCTTTCCAGCGACAACGCGGTGCACGCTCCGGCGCCGCGCAATCTCCCGCCTATATGAATTTTGATGAGCAACTGCGGTCGAAACTGCGCATGCATCTCACTGGTCTTGCTCGTTTACGCCACACAACACCTGCAGCGACTTCCTTCAAGACAGCAGTTCTACGCGAGATGAAGAGTCTTATCCGCAAGCATATGCCCAGCTCCAGCGACGACGACAGTGAATCGGTGGTGTCAGTGTCCACGCACAAATCCCAACAGCTTAGTCAACAAGAAAAGTCGTCGATCCTTGCGCGCAACCTTCGCGCCTTGGACGCTCAGGACTCGTATGAAATGCTAGCCAAGGTATACACTGGGATCAGTGAATCTTTGAGAAGACTCAGTGTTCAAGTCAAAGTTCTTCTGGATATCGCCAGTGGATTAGGAAATCCTGTCTCGTTAGGTGTGCGCTCGGGTCCCCCAAGCCCAAACCCGCAAGGCCCGACGACTCCGGCCTTGGAAGCAGAGAGGACTGCGGCCCTCATGGCGCAAGATGAGATTCTACAGGTTCTGGACATGTCCAGTCTTCTTGGCCAGGCGGTTGACATTGCTCAGTCTCAAGTTGTAAAGGTCCTGAAAGTTCGCTCGGAACAAACATCTCAGTTGCCGATGGAAGACTTCCTCAAGTACTTTACACTGAACCGACTCTTTGCGGACGAATGTGAGGCTATTTCCGGTAGAGGCGGCGCCGCATTGAAAACGGTTGTGGGAAATCAAATTCGAGATTACATCAACCGGTTTGGCGACAGCCAACGGCGCCGCATTGTCGAAGTTATGGATTCTGACAAATGGGACGCACGGGACTTCGGAGAGGACGAGAACGCTATCCTGGACCGGATACTTAACGCAAGTACGCGAGATATCGAGCTCTGGACCGATGCATCCAAAATTTGGCTGTCCTCAAACGGACACCAGGAACCGAAACCTACAGCGCCATGCACAACCAATGGTACGGGTAAGGAGAAGCTGCGGAGTGCGGTGATCGACGAGCAGAAGTACATTCTCACCGAATCCGGGGTGGCGATGATGAGGAGCATCGAAGAGTTCCAGTTCCTCATGGCGAATATTCCCAGTATGATGCAGGACATTGCACCCGGGCTTCTGGAGTCATTGAAGCTGTTCAACTCCCGGTCTTCGCAGCTGATCCTGGGTGCTGGCGCCACGAGAAGTGCGGGCCTAAAGAACATCACCACGAAACACCTGGCTCTATCCTCGCAGGCACTCAGCTTCATCATTGCGCTGGTTCCCTATGTCCGCGAGTTTGTCCGCCGACACGCGCCCTCGATTCCGCTGCTGGGCGAGTTCGACAAAGTGAAGCGGCTGTATCAGGAGCACCAGAACGGCATCCATGAGAAACTGGTTGACATCATGGGGTCACGATCTGCCATCCACGTGAATGCCATGAAAAAGATCGACTGGGATGCTTCTGCTGGATCCACCACTGTGAGCCCATACATGGAGACGCTGGCCAAGGAGACGGGCACCTTGCATCGGGTGCTGAGCAAGCACCTTCCCGACATGACCGTCATGATGATCATGGATCCTGTGTTCAAGAGCTACCGCGAGCAGTGGACGAAAGCCTTTGACGAGGTCAAGGTGACTTCGGAGGCGGCCAAGCAACGGTAAGATATGAACTGCCTCTAGAGGACGGACGCAGCTAACACAAGCTTGCAGGTTGCAACGTGATGCGGAGCACTTCCAAAGCAAGCTGAGCAAGATCGACGGCTTTGGCGATCTGGGCCAGCGACTCTTGGAGCTGGTGCAACAGAAAAGCCTTGTCACGGAGCCACGCGAGTCCAGCCCGGTCGACGGAAGTTCATCGAAGGGGTCGTCCGAGACCACCGACACTGGCCGGAGCCAGAAGTAGCTGTCTGGCTAGTATATACATTCGCCTTGTATCGATCTCTTGGCTCAGATCCCATTGCTCAGTGTATGGAGGCGTGAGGCTGTCTGACCTCATTGACTGTTCGTTTATCGTACATAGAAGTGCAGCCAGGAGACATACTCTCGCTTACTCGGGCAGCAGCTCCAGTGAGCCATTTCTTCTATATATACATACTTAATTCATGCACCTACATAGGATCCCTCTTGCAAACTCTAGAACCACCCCTGCCCAGGTCCCATCAAATACACCTTCTTAGCATAACTCGGTCATATACTTCCCCCAAACAACATCCCAACTGCCCAAACTCAACTCCAAGACCAAAGCTGTAACATCTTACGCAAGTGTAGACACTCGACCAGCAGTCTAATCCACAACTACTTCATGTACTACCCTTTCCCGACAACCCCCACCCCCCAGAACAAGAGCAAGCAGAACAAGAGCAAGAATACACAATGAACAAACAAAGTCCATTAATCTAAGCCCCTAACCAGTAGGCACCGTCGTCGTAACCAGACGATCAATCATCATCATCATCCACACATCACAAGTGGGACAAAAAAAGCATCTAATCATACATCCAAAAGCAGGATATCATATATCCCCCCCGGCAACCGCGTCAATCGTAAGCCGTTGTGTAAAAAAAAAAAACGATTCATCATCTCCCGAAAACTCCAATGCAATCAGAAAAGGTTTCTGGTCATGCAGCCAGCCACCGATCTACTGGCCGGGCAGGGCACCGGTCCCCTTCTTCCCGCCGAGGGTGTTGGGCTCGTGGCCGCCCTTGCCGCTGCCGGTCTTGTTGGGGCCGGAGCTGCCCTGGGCGCTGATGAAGCCGCTGGCCTGGCCGGATTCTTCGGGGAGGGGGGCCGTGCGCTGGGCGCGGTTGAGGGTGTCGTTCTTTTTCGGAGGTGTTAGTGGTTGTTCGTTCGAGGTTGTGTATATACAAAAACAGAAGGGAATGGGGAGGGCTTACATCGGGGTTGGTGCCGTGGACCTTGGTCTGGCCGGCCTCGATGGCGTTGTCGCTGTGGGGGACACCGTCGTCGTATTCGGCTCCGCGAGGCATTTTGTGGGTGGGTTTGTGGTGGTGGTTGAAAAAGGTAGAGAGAGGTGGTTTGTTTTGGTTGCTGGGGTTGGGATCGGGTTAGCTTGGTTGCTGCTTTGACGATGGGCGTGTCGTGGATGACTTACTGTAGTTTGAGAGTTTGAGAGTTTCGTAGTCGTTGTCTTGTGATTGTGATGAAGACGGTAAGGAAAGCAAGGGAACTTATATGTTGAGTCTGGTGGTGATGTGTTCATTGATTCTGGGATGCGCACGTCGAGTGCTGACAGCATCATGAAGTCATTATCCCCACCCAATGACTTCATGGGACCCGGTCTGAGATCAGGTACAGTCACTTCTCTCGCTCACTCTTCCATCCTCTTCGCTGCGTGTTGGACATGGTAGTGATCGGCGAGGGGTAAGACATGTTAATGCTTTGATTTCATTGCGCATTCAATTGGGGGTGGACTATCTGCGTGACTGATGTGGTCGTAGGCTGGCGAGCGGAAAGTGTGTAAATTGGAGTGCACAGCACGGGATCCGGAATTGGAGGCGGGAGTCCGAGGGTCGGGTTTCCTGCAGATGGGAAAAGGGTCGGGTTACACTGAAGGGATCCTTTGAGACCTCCGATTTGATCTAGATCTCAATGATCTTGGATCTGAGTATCATCGTGCTAGGGTTAGCTCACCGATATTTCATTAAAAGATTAAAAGATCGGAAGATTTGTTACCGCTGGTTGTTGATGGCTGCGATGCTTCCCTTCGGCATTGAACCAGGCAAACTGTCCGGACTCAGGTCCAGGCCCAAGATGGCCAGTTGGCACCCGTACCCTACATGTACTATCACCATCCTCCCTTCTGTGTCTCTTTGTTTCGGCGATTTTTCCAATCCCTTCCATATTTGCGACACAGAAACCCGTGAAGCTTCACCTTGGATCATCAAGTAGTGTCGAATATTAGACAATGGGAATTAGAAACACAATCCCGAGCTACACATACCCACCACCCAGTGATATATAGCTTACAACACTACAACCGTTCCAGCTGACAAGCCACAAGAACACAAGCCATAATCACAATCCAACCCCAGCAGCAGCAGCAGCTCCCCTCCCCCCCTCTGTACTCTCACTCCCTCCCATCCAGACACAACCCCCAATTACTACCCAACCCCATCGACCGTAATTTCCAACCCCTCGGACCAATTCACATCGCCGACCAGCCCGCTCCCTCACAACCTGTTAAATCCCCCCAACCCCGGGATCCACTTCCCGCGCATCCTCGGCTTCACAGCGAAAGCAACCCGGTATGCGGTATGATCGCAATGGCAAGCGACCGGCTCCGACCCCGGTCTCACCTCCCACATCCCCTTCCTCCGCTCACGCAACCGTCTTAGCCCGGGATGAACCGGGGCGAGAAACACGGAGCGCGCATGTAGAAGTGGTCAGGTTTCCCGAGTAACAGGCGACAGGCGACGGGTGCCAAGAGGGCGATGATGGCCTTGGTTATGGTTACGTTGACCGTGGACAGTGCGGTACGGAGGGCGCTTTACCGATACCGCAAACGGCTTGGGCGGGGGGAAGGGGAAAAGCGATCGGGACCGTGAGCCGTGGGGGTTGCGCGTGCGTGCACCGGGGAACAACGATTTCGGTCTCGGTTGGGTCATGGATGGCCTTTGCGTTTGTGCGAGGAGGACGAGGCGATGGTGGGGGACGGGGAAAGGTCAGGGCCATGGCTATGGCCAAGGCCAAGGCCGGGCGGGGGCTGGGTGGTGGTGTGGTTGTTGTTTGTCAATGTCAACGTTTGGAGGAGGGTTTTAGTGAGGATGCTAGGCAGGTCTGGAATCTGGATTGTTGATGGATGGGGCCATTGCGGAGTAGGTAGCTCGTGCGGCGGAGATGGGCCGGTCGCAGCGTTGGCCAGAACAACTACCTAGTACTGTGAACCGCGACGATAATTAGAAAATATCTTGACAAGTGGTAAGCGTTAGCGGGCATAGTTACTATTTTGGTTCTTTTGTTTGGGGGTGCGGAGAGAGAGGGGTCATTTCAATGACTACTAGGATCGTGGGCAAATAAAGACATTCGGAGACGGTGAATGCGATGGAGCTGGGGCCCCCCAGAAATCAAGCTGACAAGCCATATTGGCACTATGAAAGATCTGGTTAGATTGCCGCTAGTCAAAAAGTTAAGACGGTCGAGACGGAAGAGCTGAAGGTGCTCTTTAGAGGAATCTTCCAGATCGAGGAAATGGTGAGGGGCATCAGGACAGCGAGGATAACGCGGCCGCGGAGATGATAGATCCTCATAGATGACTTGGGCTTGTTTGATGCTCCGGAACTGGCCGAGGCCCTACGTGTAACGGACTGAGTTCTTTACTTAATACTAATCTGGTAATTGCATCCAATTCAAAGTGGACCTTAAACTCCAGTATGCAAGGGTATCTGACGACGTGACAAGAACCAAATCCAAGCTAATGCATTCCACCGACCAAAACCACGCCGGGGCCTAGCTTGGATCCAAAACGCCCACCACCGCCCTAAACTAATCAGACCTGTCGGGTAGAAAGCCTAGCGCCTGGGGCACTCGGTTGCGGCTGATCTGGACCCTCAGTCCGTTGAAAATGATATGGTAGAATAAATCGACCTCCTCGTGGTCCAAGTCAAACGACAAAGAGCTCTCTTGGGACTCGGACAAGATACTCGTGGCTCTGGTATCGACGCTCGACAGGCGACTCTCTGGACGAGTGCTTCGCGTGGAGGTCAGAGAGTGGGTATAAGAGCTCGATCGCATTGTAGATGAGAGGAACGGTCGTAGCGAGCGGATACTGTCCGCAGGTTCGGACTCCGGGTCAGGATTGACAACAACGAGCCTTTGTGGGGTAACGTGCATGTAACCGCCTTCAACGAGGGCAGAGATACCGTTATAGTTGATGGCCTGCGAGTCGGGCGATACACGATTGTTGACCTGTTTCATGTCCGGTTGAGGCGTAGGAGGTTCGCTCGATTTCTGGAAGGACCTCCAGAGCCCCTGTAGGACTCTCCACGGTGCTCGACAATTCGATTTCGACATAAGGCCCCGAAAGTGGCTCTGAATTTGCTTCATAGGCATGGCCTAATCTGACCGATGGCAAAGTGGGTACAAGTGGAGGTTGGTATGATCCGGCGTTGGTGGCAAGCGGGGGCGGGGATGAGGGGAAGAGGGTGACGGGCTCTGACTGTGAGGCTGAGCTGCGACTCGAGTCACTCACTAGAAGACCAAAGATCAGATGTATGGGAAATGAAGAGCAACGGCGATCCACTGAGGTAGAAACATTGGAGAATCTCAAGTCACTCCTGGCACAGCGCCTACCGCGCAATTCACTGAATGATGCGATAGAGATGCTGCGCAGGACATTTCCGGTCGATCCAGCTGAGGAGCAGCCATGGCATTGTTAAATGTCCTGTTACTGAAGGTCTGAAGATCCAAGACGGAGCGGTAAGAGCGAGTTTCGGGGAGTGTATGAGTTGGAAGTAAATCATGGCGAACTCAATTGCGCGAACTGGTGACCACGAATGCTATTGTTTTGTCGCTCGGAAGAAAAAGGTACAAGAGAGGAGAACACAGTAGGCTTGAATGGCGCATGAGTGCCGTCAGCATGGAAGATTTGCAGCACGAGGGGTGGCTGCTCTGCATCAGATTAAAAGCAACAAGACGGCACGATTGGCAAGCGAGGACCGTGAGGCGGTGGGCGGGTGGACGGTGACGTCAGGGTACGAAGCAGCTTTCCCCAGATTTGCCCAGATTTACCCAGTTTTTTACCTAATCCGGTTGCCGGAGCCAAGCGGAGACAAACTTTGGTTTTTCGAGGTACGGTAGGTACAGTACAATTCATACGTTGTTGAGAGAGGGGAACCAAAATAAAAAAAAATATTAAAAAAAAAGGAACGACACCGTTACAATTGCTGATGGGGACATCCATTGGGATGGGGGCATTTTCCCTGATACGAGATCACCGCTTGCCTCCTCGTTCACCCCCTCCTTCGCTCGACCATGGCGGAAATCGATCGTTCCCTTGTGTGTGTCACGTAAAATGAACAAATGAGACCATCCCCCTGTTCCCCTATCCTTGTTCGAGAGGAGGCAACAAAACGTAAAACTCGCAGACGGCGGCAGCAGCAGCAGAGTAACGTAAGTCTGAGCTTCGATGGAGTGGTCTTGTTGCAACGCTTTCCACGGATCATCATTTGGTCGGATGATTCTGCAATTGACGGGACCAACCGGGGGTTGTCATTAGCCGGGGGTCCCTCTTCCAAGCTTCCCAGCACTCCAGAGATTCTCCAGAAGAGGCCGAGGCCAGAACTGGGGATGCGTCCGTGCAACGCCAACCTTTAGGTTAGTTCAGCTTTTAGCCCAACCTGCTCCCGGTGAGCTCGACAGAGCGACAGAGACACAACACGAAGGATATCTTATTTAACAGAATTGAATGAAGGGTAGTAGGACATGAAAGGAAAGGAAGCTAATTTCTGCCCTTCCCCTCCCTGTGCTGGGGGGGTTTTTAAATTGTCCCTAGCAACCTCGCAAATTAAGGAAATGACAGGATTTCGCCTGGCAGGTTAGCGGTTGTGAACTCCGTATTGGACCTTGAACTCCGTCCTGTACGGTACTACTAGTATACTAGTAGGAGTAGCAGCAGCAAGTCTGCCTGTTTCTCTCCCTCTTCCTCCCCCCGCCACCCACCTTGTATTTCTCCCCGCACGTCACCATCTCCTCCTCCTGGAGATTTTCTTCTCTCTCTTTTCTTCTTTTTTTTTTCTTTACTTCTTTGCTCTTCTCTCTACATTTCTTCCCTTCTTTCCCCCCCAAACCCCTCCCATTCCGTCACCAAGAGTGTGTTGACGTGAGTTTAAGTAGCTCATCGTCGGATTCTCTTTCTCTCCAGCTTATCGTTAGAGCTTCCTCCGCACCCGCTTTATTGCACCCACACAGCTCTTTCGGCGCACAATGGCGAGCGAAGACAGCGGTCAAGATCCTCCCAAGCGAGATGTTCGCAACCACCTGCTCTTTGAGATCGCAACTGAGGTCGCCAATCGGGTGGGAGGTATCTACTCCGTCCTCAAGTCTAAAGCTCCCGTCACCACCGCCGAGTATGGTGAACGATACACCCTGATCGGACCGCTCAACCGAGCCTCCGCAGCGGTTGAGGTCGAGGAACTGACTCCATCGAACCCTCGACTAATTGAGACAATCCAGTCCATGAAAGAGCGTGGCATTGAGATTGTCTATGGCCGCTGGCTGATTGAAGGTGCCCCTCGTGTGCTACTCATTGACACTTCAACTGGTTACAAGTACTTGGACGAGTGGAAGGGAGACCTGTGGAATACGGCCGGAATTCCCTCTCCCGCAGGAGATACCGAAACGAATGAGACCATTGTGTTTGGCTACTTGGTAGCATGGTTCCTGGGTGAAGTATGCGACTGAGAAATCCCACAGGCATAAATGAAAGTGCTAACCAAGTGTTGTAGTTCATCGCACACGAACGTCGCAAAGCAGTTGTGGCTCATTTCCATGAGTGGCTTGCTGGTGTTGCCCTTCCTTTGACGAAGAGGCGCCATATGGACCTAACCACGATCTTCACAACCCACGCCACACTGCTCGGTCGCTATCTATGCGCAGGGTCGGTAGACTTCTACAACAACCTGCAGCACTTTGACGTCGACGCAGAGGCCGGTAAGCGCGGCATCTACCATCGATACTGTATCGAGCGGGCTGCAGCGCACACGGCCGATGTCTTCACAACCGTCTCCCACATCACTGCCTTCGAAAGCGAGCACTTGCTCAAGCGGAAGCCCGATGGTGTGCTACCGAACGGACTGAATGTGAAGAAGTTCTCAGCTGTTCATGAGTTCCAGAACCTGCACTCGCAATCGAAGGAGAAGATCAATGACTTCGTTCGTGGACATTTCTACGGCCACAACGACTTCGATCTCGACAACACTCTGTATGTCTTCACTGCCGGTCGCTATGAGTTCCGCAACAAAGGTGTGGATATGTTCATCGAAAGTCTGGCGCGTCTCAACCACCGCCTCAAGGCGAGCGGATCAAAGACAACGGTCGTCGCCTTCATCATCATGCCTGCTCAGACTTCGTCACTCACTGTCGAGTCGCTGAAGGGCCAAGCTGTCGTGAAGTCGCTTCGGGAGACCATCCATAACATCGAGCAGGGCATTGGCAAGCGCATGTATGAGCGCTCTTTGGCATGGAAAGAGGGCGACAACATGCCGGATGAGAAGGACCTGATTACGAGTCAAGATCGCGTTCTTTTGCGCCGTCGGCTTTTTGCCATGAAGCGCCACGGCCTGCCGCCTATCGTTACCCACAATATGGTCAATGACCATGAAGACCCAATTCTGAATCAGATCCGTCGGGTGCAGTTATTTAACCACTCGTCGGACCGAGTCAAAGTGGTCTTCCATCCTGAGTTCCTGAACTCCTCCAACCCAGTGTTGCCGCTTGACTATGATGACTTTGTGCGCGGCACCCACCTTGGAGTTTTCCCCTCTTATTACGAGCCGTGGGGATACACCCCTGCCGAGTGTACGGTGATGGGCGTTCCTAGCATCACCACCAACCTTTCTGGTTTCGGTTGCTATATGGAGGAATTGATCGAGAACTCGTCCGACTACGGTATCTATATTGTGGACCGTCGCATGAAAGGGGTGGACGACTCTGTGAACCAGCTTACGGACTTTATGTTGAACTTTACTCAAAAAAGCCGGCGACAACGGATCAACCAGAGAAACCGGACCGAGAGATTGAGCGATCTTTTGGATTGGAAGCGGATGGGGCTGGAGTACGTTAAGGCCCGGCAGCTTGCTCTGCGGAGAGGTGCGTATTCCCCTCGTTACTTGGACACTCACTATTAGGTACTGATCAGCGTTTGTAGCTTATCCTTCGTCGTTCGAAAACGGAGAGGACGTTTACGATATCATCGGGGGCACAGAGCAGAAGATCTCGCGTCCCCTCTCTGTTCCTGGATCTCCAAGGGACCGATCTGGAATGATGACCCCGGGAGACTTTGCCTCCCTCCAGGAGGTCAAGGAAGGTCTCAGCACGGAGGACTATGTTGCTTGGCGACTTCCGTAAGTCGAGCCCTGATACTTGTGGAGAACATGCAGTCGCTAACCAGTTTTCAATGCACAGGACCAGCGAGGAAGAAGAGCCAGATGACCACTACTTCCCTCTTACTCTCCGAACGAAGAAAACCACCGATCGGCCTGCCTCCCCGCTCGACCGGCTTTCGTTGAATGGTGATGCATGATTGATTGTCTATACGATACCAACCGACACCCAAGTCCGTCTTTCCTTCATGTGAAACACATTGTTATGTAGTTGTTGCATTTTGTGCCAGTCCTTTGCCTTCGTCCGAGCATGCTTGCAGTTTTGACTATTGTCGAATTGTCTCGATTTGTAGGTCCTGAATACAGCGCATCGTTCCGTTTGCCGTGCTCCATTAGTTTGGTTCTTTTCACCCCCTTGTTTAATATTGAAATGTTCCCTCTCCTTCGCATGCCTCGATTGTACATCCTCTCTACTCAGTCACTACACAGATTGGAGATTAGATACTTCGAATGCACTGAACCATTCCGTCCATAGCCAGTAGTTCTATGGTGACACTTGCTGGTAGACATGGAGAGGCAAATACACAGGAATTGTAGTCCGAAACCGGAGGGGTGGAGTTCACAGTGGTGATTGTCCTCGAGACGCCAAGAGGTTGAGTCATTTAATGGATTAATGGAGACAGAGGGAGAGAGTTGTGGTGCGGGTCTTCGGAGCGGGGAGCTGCGAGAGGATCAACACCAGCCAGGATCATTGAGACATTGAGAGATCCAGCCCAATTAGACTTTGGGATTATCGCTGGTGAGCGGAGAATTGCGCTTCGGTGAGAAGGTAGTGGTAGTATGGCACCTGCAGCACAATACGTGCTGTACATGTGATGGTGGTGGGGGTTCGTTTCCACATCAGTTTCCCTGTTCCCCTCCTTCCCCTCCCCTCTCTCTCCTACTACTTATACTTCCGTTCCCCTCTCCTCTTCCTCTCGTCCCCTTCCTCTTCCTCTTCCTCTTCTCTTCTACCTTTCATCCTTCTCATTCCACTCTTCAAAACCTCAATTTGATCTCCAATTCCCGCCGTACACTATCGTCCGGTACGACTCACAATGAAGCTACGCAATCAGGATGACTTTCCGAGTCTTCTCGCTAGGGGTTCAGACGGATCAAGGTATCGTACTAGTATAATGGCAGTCACAGCTCGCGCATGACAGGTGTTCGACTCGAGTCTCCGGCCTTCTCTCTGGATCGGGCAGGGACTCGGTCGTTCTGAGATTATACTGTCATAACTTGATCTAGATAATACTAGCGAAAGGACATGCGTGGCATTGATTGTTCCATACCCCTATACACAAGATGGAAAGGGGAGCTCTGTCTCCCCATTGCTGACAATGTCCAGTACTTTGATCTTGACTTGAACTCTGTGCCAAGATGTCTACTGACAAGATCACCTTCCTGACCAACTGGTACGCAACAATAATTCTTACAGGTAGCCTTATATGTGGGATCCCTGCTAAAGCTGTTGTGTATCAAGGCACGCGACCCCGTACCACGCCCCCCTTTACCTTGCGCAGAGCAAAGGCTTCTTCAAGGAGGAGGGCCTCAAGGTTGCTCTGCTCGAACCCAATGACCCCTCCGATGTCACCGAGATTATCGGCAGTGGCAAGGTTGACATGGGTTTCAAGGCCATGATCCACACTCTGGCCGTATGTGCTTCTCAGATCAACAGCTTCTGCTGGTTGCTAACCGTTGCGATCAGGCCAAAGCTCGTAACTTCCCGGTCACCTCGATTGGCTCTCTCCTCGATGAGCCGTTCACTGGAGTCATTTACCTCAAGGGTAGCGGGATCACCGAAGACTTCCGCTCTCTGAAGGGTAAGAGGATTGGTTATGTCGGCGAGTTTGGCAAGGTGCGTACAATACAGACCACCCCCCTCCCGTGCCCTACGCTAACTGATAATCATAGATCCAAATCGATGAGCTGACCAAGTACTACGGCATGACGGCGGACGACTACACCGCTGTGCGCTGCGGCATGAACGTGACCAAAGCGATCATCGAGGGCACAATCGACGCGGGAATTGGTCTCGAGAACGTGCAGATGGTCGAATTGGCCGACTGGCTGGCGAGCCAGAACCGCCCGCGCACCGACGTGCAGATGCTGCGCATCGATCAGCTTGCGGAGCTTGGCTGTTGCTGCTTCTGTTCCATCCTGTACATCGCCAACGACGCCTTCCTGGCTGCCAACGGCGAGCGCGTTCGCAAGTTCATGAATGCTGTCAAGCGTGCCACCGAGTACGTCCTTGCTGAGCCCGCCCAGGCCTTCGAGGAGTATATCGCCATGAAGCCCATCATGGGCACCCCGGTCAACCGGCAGATCTTCGAACGGTCGTTCGCGTACTTCAGCCGCGACCTCAAGAACGTCCAGCGCGACTGGAACAAGGTCACCAACTACGGCAAGCGGTTGGGAATCTTGGACGCGGACTTCCAGGCGAACTACACCAATGAGTTCCTGTCCTGGGATCTGGATGCCGATTCCACCGATCCGCTGGGCGACCAGAAGCGCATGGCTGAATTGCAGAAGGAGGTGGCTGACCAGGGCGGTTTCCGCCGGTTGCAAGTGGCCTCTGCTTGAGTTCCTCGTTGCCTAGCTGAACGGGGAAAATTGTTTCCTGTGAGCAATCTCACTGAAATTATCAGGCTAGCAGTCTCAGCTAGCTATGCACTCGTTATGAAATGAATAATTCTCAAGCCTTGGCTCTTTTCTCACTTTGGAGGAGGTGTAGTTGTTACCTGGCCCATGTAGCGATTGTGCTCCTTCCACTGGAGGTCCGTAACTTATGAACAAAGTTGTCCCACATCATCATAGCATATGCATTCTATACTTTATTGAAGCTGATAAAGTCGCTCAAACATTGCTTGCCAGTCTTAAAGGCAATCTATGAACTACACCTGTACCCCGGGTCTCATGTTCCTGCTTCGATGATCTTCATCCTCTCTGTGCGGAAGAGAGCCTATCCGGTGATGTCCCAACAGAGTCGAGAGTTCCACCCCCTCCCCACCTTCAACATCGCTCAAACTTCCCTCGTCCTCGGCGTCCCAGCGTTTCAAGGGCCGGAAGCCTCCCCGCTCCCGACCATTCACCCGACGGAGCGCAGTCCTCCGGAACAGGAATCCGAGTCGGCGCACGAGACAAACAACGACAACGAGGAGCAGCGCACAACCCAAGAGCCCGACCACAGCTGTACTCCACTTAGTGCCAAACCGCCCTAGTCCATCGTCCTCATCTCGATCCACCCCCGAGACCACAACCGCCTCCTCAGCCGCCGGATCCCAGCGCGCAAGCTTCGACGCACTCAGCACATGGCCCGAGGCATTCAGCGCCAGCACGCGGAGATACCTGTACGCAGTCGCATCCTCCGGGATAGGGATGACAGTCTCGAACCCCACCTTAGGCACGGTCGTGACTCTCGCAAAGGCGGCGGCCCTCCCACTCCCACTCCCACCACCACCACCCCCCTTTTCTCCCATTCGCCCCTGCTGCTGCTGCTGCTGCTGCTGCCGCCGCTCAGCAGAAACATCATCCGTCCCCTCCAGCCCCCACGCCACCACCTCCGTAGCCCCATTCCAACTCGCGGCGGCGCGGTACCGATACACCTCGAAATCCGGGCGTGTGCGCGGGGCCCCACGCCAGGGGTGCTTGAACACGCGGTAGGAGAGGATATTACCCAAGCCGAACTCGCGCTGGGGGCCGAAGTGCACATGGCAGAGGGGCTCGCCGGCGCGCGAGAACTCGGTCCAGGCGGCGTTCCAGCCGTAGCCGACCAGCACGTTGCCGTTGGGCAGGAGCTGCAGGCTGCCCTGGCTCTGGCTGCTGAGGGCCTGGTCGGGGGCGTTCCAGTACTGGTGGCGCAGGCGGACGGTGAGGCGCGTCTGGTCGAGGTCCAGGTACAGGCCGCGGGAGGTGCGGGCGGGGGCGCCGAGGCCGCGCGAGGCGTTGTCGAAGAGCGTGATGGCGGTGTCGTTATCGCGGAAGCGGGCGTGGTGTTGCCAGGTGAAGTTCGTGGCGGGGCCGGGGCCTGCTGAACCCCCGAATGATTCCGCGGGGGAGGAGGTGAGGTCGGTGAAGTTATTCCGCTTCCCGCCCAGTCGCCACAGGATCTCGCCCGTGCGCCCGTCGACGTAGCTCAGACAGTTGGCGTACCGCGCGGAGACGAGGTAGTTGCCGCGCCGGTCCTTGTCGACGCTGTTGATGTGGAAGAAGTCCCAGGGTTGGTCCGCGGAGGCGCCCTGCCCGGCCTCGCGGCCGCGCTCGACGTCCTCGAAGGCGAAATGCTCCGAGGCGTGCCACTCGAAGAGGAGCCGGCCCGTCTCGACCTCGACCTCCTGGAACGTCCCCTCCCAGATCCAGCCGGCCACGGGGCCGACCCGGCCGGTCTCGTCGGCCACCCGCGAGAGGTCGGCGCGCCGCCGGTCGTAGCTGGTCAGCAGCGCCGTGTCGTCGTGCGTGATGTGGAACTCGTGCAGATCGCCGGGGAGGTTCCGCGCCGCCGTGAACTTATACGCTTCTTGATACGAGGAGTCGAGCTTTATCCCTGGCCAACATGCCACGCATGGAGATTTAGAATATTCGTCGCACTTCTTCAGCGGTTCCTCCTTCCCCAGAGCAAAGCTCAACACTATCTAACCCCCGCGCAAGACAAGCCAGGAAAGAAAAAAAAAAGCAAACATACCATGAAATACGTGCCCCTCCCATGCCCAACATCGGCGTCGCTCCCCACCCAGAAGGTCAGATACTCCCGGCCCCGGTACCGCTGCACGTTCAGGTTGTACGTCTGCCCGTACTCCCGGGTCCAGACCAGGTGGCCGTCGGGGTCGAGGATCATGGGCCCCGGACGGTGGACGCTGGCGCCCCGCGGCGCGAGCAGGTAGTACTCCCCGGCGACCTTGCAGCGCGGACTGGTCTGCACCCAGTTCACGGCCAACCCGACGGTCGTGGTCGACCGGAAGAGCTCCGTGGGCCACGAGCCCATGCGGCCCTGGTCGTAGAGTTGCGATTGATTGTAGGGGCCCTCATCTGCGAGGACCGCCGCTGGTAGCAGTAGCAGTAGCAGTGGCAGTAGGAGGGAAGTCGGGAGGGGGAGGGCGCTGCCCTGCGTCAACGGCATGATTATCGCTGGGGAATGCGGGGCATTGAGCTGCGGGGCGGTAGCGGTAGCGGTAGCGTTAAAAACAAACACAGAAGAGAAGGCTCAGAGTCGCATATCCAGTCCGTCGGAGAGGCGGAGGTCAAAAGGAAGAGGGAGCTCAAGCCGAATGAATGCGAGGCGGATCTTCGATGTTCATAAACACCGGCGGGAGATCCACACCTGGGCCGTCGGCGGTTGAAAATCGGTTGGCTGCCATCTGTGCCCCGAGGATAAGGGGAGAGGGCCCACTTGGAGTGATAGTATGAGTCTCTTGCGATATGTGTTTTAAAAGCATGGTGCATGGTGCATGGTGAATGATGCATGATGGTGTGGTGTGGTCCACGCGTTGGAAATGAGTGGTTGCCGCTGGGCAATGCGTTTCTCTACTACTAGACGTGTGACTAGTCGTTGGATTTTGCAGGTTGAGGAGATGACGAATCCTTAATTAGTATCGATAAAAATAATCCCATTCTCCTCACGTGAGGTTGGTACTCCTCATGAGATGCGTTCGATTTGGGAATTGATGTCCTTAGCTGGTGTCTAGGCCCCAAACTGACAGGTCTTCCAATGGCTAAATCCGAGCGTATGTATTGAATACTGATCACGCGGCGTCCTCAGACTGCAAAAGCAGATTACAGTACATTCGACCGGCAGCAAATCACAATGTATGCTGTATTTTCGTCTGGTATTTCAGCTAGTCTATCTCAGAAGGGGGTATGTATGCACTAATTAAAAGATAGACAGAAGAAGTGTCGCGATGATTAGAAGGGGTATCGTTCGTCCGACCGTTTACTTGCTACGCTTGTAGATCTTGGACAGGAAGGCCTCGAAGACCTCCTTCTTCAAGCCCTCGGCCTCGTTGATGTTGTCGATCTTGCCGCGCAGCTCGCCAACCACCTTCTCCTCGTACTCCAGGTAGACCTTCTCCAGGTCGAGCTCCTTGTAGAGAGCCTTGACCTTGGCCTCCTGCTCGCTGTCCTTGCGACCGTACGCGGCGTCGAGCACCTTGCGCTGCTCCGCGGTGCAACGCTGGATGGCCTGGTTCACCAGCCAGGAGCACTTGTTGTCCTGGATGTCGGTGCCGATCTTGCCGATGACGGCGGGGTCACCGTAGGCGTCGAGGTAGTCGTCCTGGACCTGGAAGTACTGACCGAGAGGAATCAGGATGTCGTGGGCCTGGCGGAGGTTCTCGGGGGTCGCGAGCTGGAGGTAGTGCAGGGCCAGCGCGACGGGGAGGTAGAAGCTGTAGTACGCGGTCTTGTAGGTGACAATGAACATGTACTTCTCCATGGAGAAGTTGTCCAGGTTGACGTTGTCCTCGGGGGCGGTGATCAGATCGCACAACTGGCCCAGCTCGGTCTGGTAGGTGATCTCGTGGAACAGCTCGACAAGGTCGATGTAGGCGGGGTGGGAGCGGAAGTGTTTCTTGAGGATGATGTAGATGCCGGACTCGAGCAGGAAGGCGTCGTTGATCGCGATCAGGCCGACGCCGTCGTGACGGTACCAGCAGGGCTGGCCACGGCGGGTGATGGAGCTGTCCATGATGTCGTCGCTGACCAGGAAGAAAGCCTGGAGCAGCTCCGTGAGCCAGCCGAGCATGCTCAAGTGCTTGAACTGCTCCTCGCTCAGGGGCTGCTTCAGGAGAGCCAGAGCGGTATCGGGGACGGAAAGACCGCGGTTGAGTTTTCCACCAGGAACATTGACATTGAGGTTCTATGCGCGAAGCAGCGAAAGGCTTTAGTGAGTCTACTGCCATGTATCACGATATAGGGTAGGGATTCGGCTGGACGACATACCTTCTCAAACCATTCGAGCGCATTCTGGGGCAAGTTGTACTGCTTCGCAGAGTTCAGGAGATCATCGCGAATTGTGGGGAAGATAGCCTCGAAAGAGGCACGGCTGGTGGTGGAAGGCATTGTGCGAAAGTATCACTGTGAACAGCGAGCGAGGAGGGAAGGGGAGAGAAGGAGAGAGGAAGAGAAAAGGAAAAAGAAAGTCGCAACAACGATAGTTAAACAGTGGGGGGGAGGAGAGAGAGAGGGGGGAGGCGGAGGGAAACAGACAAAGCAACCGCCAGCCAAGATCAATGCCCCATACAATTATGGGTAAATTATTGTTTGCGACGCCCCGCTGTTTGCCGTGTTTGCTACTGCTAACCCAAAAGGGAAATTCACTTACTCCCGGGCTCCATTCCAGTCCCGAGTCCAGTCCAGTCCGACCAGTCCAGCTCCTGCTGCATCTATCTATTTGTGGTTGCTCTTTGTCGCATTTCTAACCGACCTCTGGCCTCATCTCTCACGAATTCCTAGTGTCTCTGGTCATTTTAGACGCGTGACAATCGTTCCCGTACCCTTCGCCGCGGGCTTGGTCAAGCTCTCCGAAGCTCAATCAAAACAGCCTCGTGCAATGGCCCTTGCGCATTACTAGATTCACAAACCTTTTCAAATCTACTCGACGAACCGGGCATTACGGCTGTCAATCTACCTGCGTTTGCGCGCAGGATCCTTACCGCCAGATGGCTGCTCAATTCACAGATGAGAACATCAAGGAGCTGAAGTTCCGACTCGAAGATGCGGCGATCAAGTGCTCCGAACGATGCCTCTACCAATCGGCAAAATGGTACCGTCGCCAACTGACTCCTCGTCAACCCGTGCGATGAAGGAAAGCTAACAGGATTGTCAGGGCTGCGGAGATGCTCGACTCCCTCGTCCCAATCGACCAGTATGAAACGGATCCCGATTCACCAATGGACCAGCCCGATGCTCCTCCAAACGCCCAGAACCCCTACCTCCGGACCCAAGACTCCATAGAAGCGGCGCTCGAGGCGCAAGAGTCGTATAAATATCTCCTGGCCAAGTCATACTTTGACACCCGCGAATACGACCGCTGTGCCGCCGTCTTCTTGCCTCCGACTATATCCCCCATCCTTCTTGCGACTGCATCGCCCAACCCGAAACATAGGCAATCGTTGACTCCGCAGAAAGGCAAATCTAAGGCATCGCCGTTCGCAGGGGTGAAGGACAATGGTGCGACAAGGAATCCCTACCCTAGGCTTAGTCAGAAATCCTTGTTCCTCGCCTTGTATGCCAAGTACCTGGCAGGCGAGAAGCGCAAGGATGAGGAGACGGAGATGGTGCTAGGTCCTGCTGATGGAGGGTCTACAGTCAACCGGGAGTTGCCAGATCTGGCTCGAGGGCTAGAAGGATGGTTTACCGAGCGACGCGAGAAGGGACTAGAGGGTCGGAACCAGGGTTGGTTGGAATACCTTTACGGTGTCATACTCCTCAAGGGGCGGAATGAGGATGAGGCCAAAAAGTGGTTGATTCGGAGCGTGCACTTGAACCCATTCCACTGGGGCTCGTGGCAAGAACTGAACGACTTACTGGCCAGCACGGAAGACGTACGCATACCTCAGCTACATCTGACAAGTTGGTTGCTAACCACTGTGTGCAGTTGAAACAAGTTGTCGATCTTCTCCCGCAGAACATCATGACTCTCATCTTCCACGTATACTGTAGCCAAGAGCTATATCAAGCCACAGATGATACGTACCAGGCTCTGTCCGAGCTGGAGACGATCTTCCCAACAAGCGCCTTCCTCAAGACACAGAGAGCACTCCTCTACTACCACTCGAAAGGTAAGATTGCTTCGCACGAGACGTTTTCTCTGAGCCTGACCCGACGGATTCCACAGATTTCGAAGCAGCATCGCACATCTTCACAGACATCCTCATCACCTCACCCCACCGCCTCGACAGCCTCGACCATTACTCCAACATCCTCTATGTCATGGGCGAGCGTCCGCAGCTCGCCTTCGTCGCCCAAGTCGCGACGGCGACCGACAAATTCCGTCCCGAGACGTGCTGCGTTGTAGGAAACTACTACTCGCTCAAATCCGAGCACGAAAAAGCAGTCATGTACTTCCGCCGCGCGCTGACGCTCGACCGGAACTTCCTCTCCGCCTGGACCCTGATGGGCCACGAATACATCGAGATGAAGAACACGCACGCTGCGATCGAGTCCTACCGGCGGGCCGTCGACGTGAACCGCAAAGACTACCGCGCCTGGTACGGGTTAGGCCAAGCCTACGAAGTCCTCGACATGTCCTTCTACGCGTTGTTCTACTACCAACGCGCCGCCGCCCTGCGGCCGTACGACCCGAAAATGTGGCAGGCCGTGGGATCGTGCTATGCCAAGATGGGCCGCATCGAGCAGAGCATCAAGGCCCTGAAACGGGCCCTCGTTGCCGGCTCCTACTACGCCGAGGACTCTTCCTCCCAGGTCGGTGGCATGGGCGGCGGCGGCGGCCCTGCCCGCAAGATTCTCGACCCGGAGACATTACACCAGATCGCCACACTCTACGAGCGCCTGGGCGACGAGGAGGAAGCCGCCGCGTACATGGAGCTCACCCTGCAGCAAGAGTCCGGGCAGGTCGTCCAGGAGGAGGAAGAGGTCTCGTCCGACGACGATCAGTCCGGCACGGATGTCCCGTCCAGCTCGCGCCGCACGCGCAAGTCGTCGAGGGAGGCAGAAGAAGAGGAGGAGACATGGCACGGCACGGGGGTCACCGCGACGACGTCCAAGGCGCGGCTGTGGCTCGCTCGGTGGGCGCTCCGCGGCGGCGATCTGGATCGCGCGGATCAACTGGCCGGCGAGTTGTGCCAGGATGGGGTGGAGGTGGAAGAGGCCAAGGCTTTGATGAGAGACGTTCGCGCCAGAAGGGAGGGTGGTTGATGCATACATGTTCAGGTGTCTCATACCCCTTCGAATTAGCCAGGCGTTTTTATGGAATCTCGGTTTGTAATGTGTCTCGAATTATATCTGTATATGAACTAGACAAGCCAGTACCCTAAGGGGGTCACTCGATTAAGCGTTGGATTAAGCGTTGTAACTCGTATGGCATCTCATATTGACGAAACTGTCTAGTGTCTTCTGTCGATCTCATTATACATACATTCCAATGTGAATCTATGCAGAACACCCAGAAAGGGCCACAACATACATGCTGACCTATTGAAGAAAGAGCGATGTAGCAAAACCCAGGGTTACAAAGACTACCTTCGTCAACATGCACCACCGGGTTGGGTCACCGCGAACAACTCGCTCAGCAGAAGCAGCTCCCGCCAATTGAAACTAATCGTAGCCTTGATATCGACGTCTCTACGTGCCCCTCTCCCACGGCCCTCCGCTGCTCTCCGATGACAGTGCATAGGGCTTGCATGAAGACCGTCGTCATGCGAAGTACGCTCCCCCGTCCCGCCGAGATCCCACTTCACGCACGCATAGAAGTACCGTCTCCCGATTGACTCCCAGGTGTGACGGAGGCCGAGCCTGGCATCGTCGGGGCTGATGTTGAGATTCAGGAAGCTTCGGTCTAGGACGAAGATTTTGCCGGTTGGAAGGTGGGTTATGCTTCTGGTTTGCAGGGCGCGCGTGATGCGTTTGCTGAGGTCGAAGAGGAGGTGGCCGAGGGAGGATTCGTTGCTAGTCAGGATGACGAGTCCGAGGCGTGGAAATGGTGTTGTCGTCTTTGGCGTGTGTGTCAGCAGAATATCCAGGAGATTGGCAAGGGGTTGGGTGTGGTGCTGCGGATGGGGCTGCTGGGGGGCTGTGTGGTTGCTGCACGTTGGAGTTATATATATGGGGATATTCAGGAGTAGAGTTGCGAGAGGTGGATTTGGTTTGTGAGGACAATTATCAGCTATATTGGTGAAGCTAGATATCTGCGGTGGTGAAGGTGAAGGTAGGCTGCTGCATCGTCCGGTCCTTAAAACCTCGGTACTGTCTAGGGTGCTGACCTGACCAGGCTCTCGAGGCCGAGGAATTGACTTGTCTGCGTGTTCAGAATCAGGGTTGCGGTTTGCATATCCTCGCTGGCGGGAGGTATGAGCCGACGGGTTCTCATTATTGGTCGAAGAATTCTGTCGACCAGCTTTGTTTTCAGCTGATGGAGCCCTATCCACAGGTCCATCTGCATATATAGGTATGGTACGGCTGTTCGGACAAATCGGAACATTTGGCGACGTGAGCAGCGTGGTCGATCTTTCTAAGGGTTTGGGAGCAGGCGATGGTATATCCGGTGGGTCGCTTGAGAGAATGGCAGCGGTGGTGTTGGTCCCCGACCTCAATGTAGAGCATTGACTGGAAGAAATGCTTCCAGATCGTTCATTTGAGACATGATGTGCTGATCCAGTTCCAAATTTCACGCGCTTGGACCACTCGCTTCGCTCTTTGCCCATGTCATCCGTGGGAACAGCTCGAGCGTCTTCGGCCAGTTGTTGCAGCTCAGCATATGATGCCGCATCCTCGATAGCCCTATCCCAGTGTATCTTGGTGATTCTCGGAAAGCGAAGTGCGAAATATCCAGCGTTGGATGGTTTCTCAAACCCACTACCGAGTATCTCGACAATGAAGGGAGTCTTGAACACAACCTCCATTCTGGAGGCGACATTGGTTCCATAATGAAGTGAGAACCTGTGGTCAGATTCGGCGTTGCAGGCATGAAACTCGCCGAACTGATTGAGAACCTGCATGTTCTTCAAACTCATGCCATTGCGGTCAAGCACATCCACAACCTTAAACTTAGGAGAGACGTTGAACTGCGCAACTGCATCTTTGTTGGTGAGACAGCCGACGTAGAACTCCGTCCATAGCAGCTTTCTGACTTGGTGTAGGGCTGTCGCATCTTGCGGATTATATCTCGCGCCAATGATTGCGAGGTCAACCGTATCACCCAGCCCCGGTATATAATCCTTCTTGAGCTTGATCCAGCGGCCGAACGTGTTATTCTCCTGGCCTGAGAAGATGGTAAAGTAGGGGTCCTCGCATCCTTTGAGTACAAAGCCCTCCCACCGCTGTGCAATTCCCCTGGAGAAGATGCTCTCCAGTCGGGCCTGGCCGTCATGTCGCGAGAAATCCACTATTTGTTGCTCAGCAATATCTGCACGCCCGGGGACAGCGTGTATGATGTCTTTGAGAAGTAGACGTCGTTCCCGATGCGGCCGCCTTAAGCATATATTATCATCGAGAAGCAGAATGTCGAAGAAGACCATCATCAGATGTTCATGGGGTTGCGGTCTGGCTGCAATCAGCAACAGAATTGTAGATGATATCCTATTGCGAAACTCACGGGGAATCGCTTTCAGTACCAAAGAAGGTACCAGACCGAGATATAAATTTACGCAGCTTATGAAAGTCCATGATCTTGTTGTCTTTGTCACTCCAGACAAGTAATTCGCCTTCAAGAATGCACCTTTGGGAGACCTTGCACCCAGGCGCTCCTAATTTCAAGGAGTCTTTGATGACCTGGTGGATACCTATCCTGTCGACAGTAGAATCTTTACCGCTTTTAGAGAATATTTGTATGGAACTAGGGCCCAACGTGAGGTCAATATGTACTTGACAGTATTCACCATCGTACTTCCTTTCAATACTCATTCGACGGCGATTGACCATGCGACAGCAGTGCTTGATGCTCCGGGCCTTGTGGTACTCCGGTCGACCGATCTTGACCCCAACTATAGGATTGAGATGTTGCAAGGCCAGATAAGCCAGGTCCTTGGCCAATCCAGGGTCCGGGTGTGGCGGGAAATGGCTGATGGGGTCGGAGCGGAGCATACTGAGCGCACCCTCGAATGTGTCTTGGAAGAGAAGGAGAGGCTGAAGGAGAAAGTGGAAGCTCCGCAACGTCAAAGGCAAAGGAAATACAACAGGGTAATACCCCTTGAGTATCATGCGCGTTAACCACTTTGCATCCCTGCTCCTGAGTCGCTTGAAGAGAGAGCCTAGGGCCTTCTCGACGTCAACCGCGGTGTGCTGCTTTCGCACTCGAGGACCGGAGAATCTGCAACGGGCAGCAATACTGTTCAATGCAGAGTCAATCTCCTCGACCGTTACCTCTCGACCCGGGTCGAGATCGTTCTCGGCTTGCCGCATCACATTTTCGACACATTGGCCGAGGTCGAGTCCGCTGGACACGCGCCAACGCTCGAGCTCTGCCCGTCTGGAGGACCCGAGAAGTAAGCATCGCGCTATAATCCTCGCCAGCGAGGTTTCTTGCAGCCAGTAGACCCTGTCTGGCCTCTTCTCGGGAAACATGCAGGACAACAGGGCCAGAAGATCAGTGTCAGGGCCACGTATCTGTTTCCCATGCTGGGAAAACCACCGAGTCACGGCCCGCACATCAGGATTGAATGCTCGCGCTTCATGTGTCGCCTTCAAGATTCTGTTGTCCTCGAGAGTGGAGAGTAGATCGCACAAATGAGTGAATTTGAACCCCATCAATCAGACAGATAGACGCGTCTGCTGCTGCGATCATTGAGACACCGGTTCCTAGAGGTGTCCAAAGCTTCATATACACGAGACCGCATTGACACGATAGAAGACTGAAGGGTCAACGAACCATGGCCGGGACAATGAACCTATCTGCAAAGCAAGGGTGCGAAAAAGGTCGAAGAGAGCCAGGGAGACGCGTCCATGGATCGCGAAGACACGTGATGCGAACCAGATTTGGTCTTAATTAGTGAACAATGGCCATCGTTCTCATTTACTCTTGGAACCGTTGGATAGTAGAAAAACTCGGATTGTGCTCAGGAATCCTTCGCATAGAATACATAATGTGCAGAGCCCTAGAAGCTGCTGCGATTGACTGATCAATTCTAACCAACAATGATCCCAGTGGTCCAGGTGGCAACCATAAACAACAAGAAAAAGAAAACACCGCCGAACTCCAGGCTTTTCAAATTAAAGCAACAAGACAAATAGATGAGGCCATGTGTTGGAAAGAAGTGAGAAACGCCGCTTACAAGATACCTTGCTTCTGGAGATCAAGGTAGATTCTCTCTGGCATCACGTTTCCTTCCGCATCCTCCATCTGCACCACGTTGTCACGGTTGTCTCTGTCCTTCTTACGGTCCTTTTCAAGCTTCTCCCATAGTCGCAATGCCTCGTCAATCCGAGTGATCTCACGGAAGAGATTGGTGTTCGACGTGATTCCCAAACACTTCAGGCCGAAGATATGCAAGGCCTCAGAAAAGTGCTTGTCGAAGGCGCGACGGCCCATGTATACGAAATTTCCGCAGATTTCGCATGGGTATTCGACACCAAGACCGTGCAACTTGTAGAGCCAGTAAGGGATGGGCTTTCCATCCCAGGCAAGTGGCAGCTTGAGAGGATTGTAGATTCGATCGTCGCCTTCATCATCAGATTGGTCGTTTCCACGATCTCCGCCGGTGTATTCAGATTCGTTCAGTAGCGCTTCAAGTTCCATTTGACGCTCCCTCTCAGTCATGCCCTGCTTGCGCTCGACATTGATCTTGGTCGCCTCACGCTCTGCGCTAAGGACTTGCGTAAGGGACCGGACGCGATGTTCCCTCTCTGCCACCGCGCGTTCCTTCAATCTGTGGGCACCTGGGATCCCGCTGCCAGCAGCTGGCGCGGGTCTGTCGCTGGAGTCACCGGCGGCCTTACGAGCCTCAGCGGCACGGATATGCTTCTTGCCCGTCAGGTGGTTCTTGTAGACGTTCTCATTCGTGAACTCTCTCTCGCAATCAGCACACCAGATGCCTTCCCCAGACCCTTCAGTCTTCGGGCCCTGAGTCCCATTCTCTGCCTTCTCCTCCGTCCAGCCCGGAACCTCGTTCGCCGACCATTGTTTCTCGAATTCATCGTCGAAGCTAGCAAACAGCTTGCTGAGATCTTGTAGCGGTCTTACCTTCTTGATGAAGCTTTCCAGGTAACTCGCGAGCTCGCCGACGTATTTGAAGTATCTATCTGAGATCTTGTTGTTGCGCTTGATCGGCAATTGCGGGGGCGTAAACGCATCGAAGATGTCGAGGTATTGAACGTACGAAAGCCTCTTCACACCGGGGAGGTTCAGGTACTCCTCGTGCAAGGCCGTCAGGTCCAAGAACTGCCCGTAGCTTTCCTCACCGGTGAACAGATTGTCAACTTCCATTCCGGTCGTCTCACCCTCGCCAAGCTGACGGCGCTTGTAGGCCCGCTCGAGGTTCTCGACCGGTTCATTGGGGTAGCGCTTGTGGAAGTCCTTGATTTCGTCCAGCTGTCGGTAAAACTCCTCGAACTGATCGCCGGTCGAGATAGATTGGATCTCCTTGTTGCGCGCGCCATCGGTATCCTTGTAAATGTCCAGCAGTCTCTTTGACTGTTCCTCTATGCGGTTGAGAAAGTGTGAGACCTCGTGGTCGCGGTTCAGGCGGTCGCGTAGCTATATTGAAGAGCATTAGTTAGCATCTGCGGTGACTGTGACAACGGAGCGCTCACGTACATTACGAGGTTCTTCAGCCACGCGGTCGGCAATGGCCTGCTCCAACCGCTCCAGGTCCTCATGGATAAATCTCTGTTCTTCAAGAATCATGTTGAAAGCGCGCACAGAGTGTCCGTTCGGTCTATGCGATGTAATACTCACCCCAGATTGGAGGATGTTACGCCGCTCTATCGGCGCCACCCATGAGAGCTTTGCGGGCGAATTGCGGTCACGTGGAGCGGGCGGTGAGTCCTCGATCGCTGCGAAAAGTCGCGAGCTCCGGCCACTCCACCAGACCAGTACCTCTGATTCCAGACTGCGGTCCTTTATTGTTTGAATCAATTTATACTATCAGATATCTCAGTGGATTCAAAATGGCGGACGGTATTGACAGACGCGCTGATGGTATGACTTTCAAATGACCTTTGAGATCGAGGATTCATTCACTGACCGCGCAAATTCAGACCGGATGGAGTTCAACACCTCGAAGGAGGTCACTGTGGCTCCTACCTTCGAGGACATGCACCTGAAGGAAAGCCTTCTTCGTGGTATCTACGCTTATGGCTACGAGTCCCCCTCCGCTGTTCAGTCCCGTGCGATCGTTCAGATCTGCAAGGGTCGCGATACCATTGCCCAGGCGCAATCCGGTACCGGTAAGACAGCTACGTTCTCGATCAGTATCCTCCAGGTTATCGATACCGTTGTTCGCGAAACCCAGGGTATGTGGCTCACACCATTTGCACACCACGATCTTGCATGCGGAATCAAAAGCTCACACATTGGCCGGTAGCCCTCGTTCTCTCCCCTACCCGCGAACTTGCCACCCAGATCCAGTCCGTCATCATGGCCCTCGGCGACTACATGAACGTCCAATGCCACGCCTGTATCGGAGGTACCAACATCGGAGAGGATATTCGCAAGCTCGACTATGGTCAGCACGTTGTCTCGGGAACGCCCGGTCGCGTTGCCGACATGATCCGCCGCCGCCACCTGCGCACCCGGCACATCAAGATGCTGGTTCTCGATGAAGCCGACGAGCTCCTGAACCGCGGCTTCCGCGAGCAGATCTACGATGTCTACCGCTACCTGCCCCCGGCCACCCAGGTCGTGGTCGTCTCCGCCACGCTGCCCTACGATGTGCTCGACATGACGACCAAGTTCATGACCGACCCCGTGCGCGTGCTGGTCAAGCGTGACGAGTTGACGCTCGAAGGCATCAAGCAGTACTTCATCGCCGTCGAGAAGGAGGAGTGGAAGTTCGATACCCTGTGCGATCTGTACGACACCCTGACGATCACGCAAGCCGTCATCTTCTGCAACACGCGCCGCAAGGTCGACTGGCTCACCGACAAGATGCGCGAGGCCAACTTCACCGTCTCCAGCATGCACGGCGAGATGCCTCAGAAGGAGCGCGACAGCATCATGCAGGATTTCCGCCAGGGCAACTCGCGGGTGCTGATCTCCACCGACGTCTGGGCGCGTGGTATCGATGTCCAGCAGGTCTCCCTGGTCATCAACTACGACCTCCCCACCAACCGTGAGAACTACATCCACCGTATCGGTCGTAGCGGTCGTTTTGGCCGCAAGGGTGTCGCCATAAACTTCGTCACCAGCGACGACGTGCGCATCCTCCGCGACATTGAATTGTATTATTCCACTCAGATCGATGAGATGCCTATGAACGGTAAGCGCTTCCACCCAATCATTGGAGACCAAAATTTCATATGCTAATTCCCTCCCCAACAGTTGCCGATCTTCTTTCCTAATCTTTACGAGTCATCTATCTGCAATTTCCTTTTCCAAAAGTTCAAGTTGCGCTCGAGCTATGGGATGTCCCGCAAATCAGTTGCTCACTAGCTGGCACCCTTTCTTATCACTTCCCACCATGATCGAAAGAGAGCATCTAGGCTCTGGGCACGACGGAAAGTCAACACTAGTGTGGAGGAAATGGGAAATTTACTAGTCTGGTAGGTTTTGTCGACATTCAATCCAGTGCGCGCAGTGCTAACCAAGGCTCCAGTTATGTCACCATCAAATGACGCTTATGCAAGGGTCTTGTTCATTTTTAAGGTCTATTCGACGCCCGACCAGCGTTCTATCGTATCTCCTTGTTTACTATCCGCGGCGTCTAATTTTCGATCATCTGGGGTAATTCTAGCTTTTTCTGGGGTTTCTTTTTCATTGTCAGGAGATACACTATTTTCCTTTTTTTTTCATTTCCAACACAATATAAAAAGCGGTCCGCTACTTGGTTAAGCCTTCGTCATGTCCTTTCGTGTGTTTCTCGGTAAATCATAGTGGATCCATTCGTGCATTGTTTCAGTCTGCAAAGCCTCGCCTCTAGAAGGACCCCAGCCTCAGAAGCGGATCCATACCATAATAGCCTTCCCAAGCTGAACGCAATGGTCCACGCATGCTCACGGCACGAATAGTGAAGTCGAGACCGCACCAGACGGGAGAAATTGAGACATCGAGAGAAATAAAGTAATGATATTTGATACCTATAGTAGAGTAACTCATAGCGAGATATAGAAAAAAGGAAGGAATAAGCCAGACCCAAGTTCTCGCTTCGCCGCCCAGGAACCAGTTCCTCGATTTGTCCCAAACCTTCATGATCACCCAAACTGCGAAAACATCAAAAAGAAAAAGAAAAAGAAAAAGAACGAAGTCGAACGAATGAGGGTTCGGACGAGAAGCCAGCATGTAATGTCATTATATGTCGTATAGGCACGAGGTGTGAAAGCGGTTGGCATGACTGCCGAGGTATGACAGAACAATGCTGGAGATATCGGGTTGGAGGTTTGAGGGGGGGGGGTGGTTGGTCTGAAGGAATCGATGCACAACATATACGAATGTGTACCAAAAACAGTGGCGCCTGCACACCTGTATTATGTAGAATCACTGGAAAGACCAGAAAATGCTTATATGCAGGGATCAAAAGTGGCATAGTGGTAGGGGATCTGGAAGAGATCGAGTGGAGATAGCCGTGAAGATCGGCAGGGAGGTTCGATCCAAAGGGTAGTTTCATCAGCCGCTAGAAGAAGGTCGTGTTTATGCCTCCATTGAGGTACGATAACAACATTCGGAAAGAAAGCATTAGGAGCTTCTCCAGGAGAGGCTCCTTTAGAACCGTGATGTCGAACGCAGAGCACTGGTGCGGGCAAACCCGTTCCCCGACACAGCCCTATGCTTAGCCGCTGCAGCACCCGGTCGTGTATCGCGTTCTTTGGTCCATCTTGAAAAATAGTCAGCCTGGACTCTATCAAGTGTGGGGTAGAAAGGGTAACGTCTTACATTCTGACCATGTAGTCATCGCCTGCTGAGGCGAACATCCCCGAATTAGCCGGATTCCATGATAATGAATTCACACAGCCCCGGGTATGCGCTTCCAGCACTTCAACGAGAGTTCCATTCTCTTTGTGCCAGATGTAAATACGAGAATCTGTGACGGGATTAGCCCAAACATCCAACAAAGGAGGGAAATCAAAAACCCACCTTCGCTCCCGCTCACAATAAAGTTATCAGCAGCGCCTCCAAAGACGCTGCGGATGACGAAATTGCCCTGTTTCTGCCCCTGGAAGCGCCGTACCACTTCCGTCGTGTTGAGGTCAATAAGCTGCAGTTGATTGTCGGCCAGATTAACAAGCAGATACCGCGAGTCCTTGCTGACAGCCACCGACGTCGGCCTGCTTTTCGTTGTAAGGCAATATTCTTCATCACGCGTGGCAAAGTTGTAAACATGCAATTTTCCCTCCAGATCCGCCGCGACTAGTCTCCGACCGTCAGGAGTCATGGTACAATCTTGTACCCTGAAACCACCATCCCAAGAGTGTAGGTTATGCCCGCGCATGCTCCAATAACAAAGTTGCGTGCTAAGATCAAGAGAAGCCGTGACGAACGTCTCCCCGTCTGGAGCCCATGCTGCAGACGTTACTGGTTGCCGATGATGATTTATGGTTAACAGACAACGGCCGGTCTGTGTTCCGTGTTAGCATTGCGAAAGGAAGGAGAGCATTAAGCGGAGAATTTACCTCGACGCTCCATACGCGAGCGGTCTTATCTTGGGAGCAAGTGATGAGTTTCGAATCGTCCGGACTGAATTCGCAATGCACAACACCATCTGTGTGCTCCTTGAGCGTGTGGAGCACAGTGAAAGTATCCGTGTCGTAGAGAATCACTGTGGAATCCTTGCAGGCTGTGACCAGCCTGGTCCCATCATGCGAAAAGGAGCACCACCAGACTTCATCCCGTTGCTCGGTCAATTGAATCTCTGTCCGGAGAGGGAAATCCTTTCGATCGCACATATGGTCCGAATATAGAGAGGGAGGATTTGCCGTATTGTGATACAAACATTGGTTGATTTGATTCTGCTTGACGTGGTCTAGAAGAATAGCAAGACGATTATCCGGGATCATAACAGAAGGCGAAATGGACTCTGCAGAAGTGTGAGTTCAGATTGATGGAATGGATTTGAGTTGCGACATACTGGATAATTCCGATAATAAACGTTCTCGAGAAGAGCTTATTGGGCTGTCCCAACCAGCTTGATCGTGAAGATGCTCAGGAGGGCACATGAGGAGGCTTTTTGATGGTAAGTTAGCGGCACATTTTCTCATCAATGGGAATGCTAGGTATAGGTCCCACCTCGAAAGAGCATGTAAACGACCAATGTCATAATTGAGGGGTGTTAGTTCATGCCGGAGAACTATTAAAGCCGCACCCAGATCTCGAGCCTCCAACAGCTCCAGGAATTTTTGTTGTCGGAGATGGAAAAGCATTTCGTTCTTTTCGGCATGCTCCACTAAGACTAATCTCTCCTTGGTGGGATGCTGCTCGGTGCGACGTCCTCCCCTGCCACTATCCCGTTCATAGTGAAATGAGTGGACCAAGATTTGTTCCGCTTCAGCCCATCGCCCCTCAAGAACCGCGTTCCTGAACGTAGCAACCGCTGGGCTTTCCAGTTGATAACCGCTCTCCTTACTCAACAATGATGCCGCTCCGTCATAGCCAAGCTCGTAGAGACTCTGTATCAAGATCCTTGTAACCTCTTCCCGATCGTGACCGAAGTAGGTAGAGGAGTTTAGCCTCGACTTTTGCGATCCATTTGTGTGCAAGTCTCCATTGGAGGTTGTATGCAAGGCTTGGCCGTTCATCGACAACGGAAATGCTGCCTTTTGCGATGGAGATGCAGGCGAACCATTAAGCGTATGGGAAGAGCCATTTGTACTGGATATCCCATCGGGACGCATATTTGCCAGGCGCCTGCGCTTGGGAGATGGTGTGTAGCCCGCCGATGAGTCGTATGGTTGGATTGCTTGATGGCCGGTCTCGCTCGCCGTTCCTCCCGCAAGACCTCCCGTACCCTCTGTTATCGGACCTCGAGAGGTAGGTGTTATACTTCGGCGACGTCGGCGAGACGATCTGGATGAGATGCCACTAGGACTTCTTGTGCCAATCTGATCACCGATGACCGAGTTACGGAGGGACGCTGCGGAAAGGCCGCTCGTGGCGGAAGTGGTGCGAAGTGGCGGCGAGGATGCGAGGGGTGGAGGGGGATCGGGGTGGTCGGGGTGGTCGGGGTGGTCGGGGTGGTCGGGAGCGGCGGAGGAGGGTATATATGGAGGAGGATTGTCTGCCAGTTCGAATGTTTCTGGATCTGCCCTTTCACCTGGCTCTGTTGGAGAACCAGGGGAGCAGACCTCTATCAGTGGCGGTTCACTGATGTTCGCCGAAGGTCAGTGTACTGTATGTACGTCTGCAACCTTGTCACGAGCCTCAGTAGTCTACCAATCTGCTTGTTGCAGAGCGTCTGTTAGTTATAATCTGTATCAAATGGCGTTCAGATGAGCTCTGCCATGCGTGCTGGTCGAGAGCCAAGTGCTTCTTACAGTAGACAAGCGGAGAGGGCTTATCGGGCTTGGACGGTGGTTAACTGACTGCTCCCACGAGAGGTCACCGGATAATGGGGAATGGAAGAGCTAGAAAGGTGTGAAGGGAGCACCAAAACAGGTTTAAAAATGGCCGGAATGACCAAGCCGGAGATATGTAAGAACCTAGTAAGTGGAAAGGGAATATTATGGACGAGGGGAAGAGAAAACTTTAGGTGGGTTGATTGAGGAACAACTGGAGGATTAGAGCGGAGGTTGAGGTCGAGCACATCGGCGGCTGCTGGGTCTCACTGACTGACTGACTGATTGACTGACTGAACTGTCTTCCCGTGGGGCTAAGCAGCCCCCGACAATCAATGCTTATTGAGTGCCTGCCTGTCAATCCCACCCCTCCCTCCGCCCCCGTGCTCTTTCTTCCATTACCCACACCTGCCCAATTCATCAGTCCCATAAACTAAACCATCATTTCGTTTGCCCATTTCAGTTTTGTACTGGTCTCGAGGCTAAACATGCTTATACAAAGTTTCAACTGTCTGAGTAGCCGAGAGACTCGAAACAAAGAGGTCTATGGAATCCACTTGCTACCGAATCGAGTCAACCTACGGTACTTCAAGTTGCTAGTTACTATGAATGACGATATCCATGATACATACGGGGGTATGACGATACATGGAAAAAGGCAATCATTCCCGTAGTATAACTCGAATATGATTCATTCATACGTGACCAGCGATCAACACTAGTTCAGTATGTATGTTTTATACTACCTTGAGCTTCCTACTATATCTTACACATTACCTTGGTGTTCCTTATCTTCTGAAATCGTATGCAAGTCATGTACAGTATGTGTTTCAGAACCAGCGATATCCAAAAGCCCTTCCCAAGCTGGAATGAAGCAGAGATGCTTGCATCACCTGAACCCCCAAGACCTCTTCGATCAAGCAAGCAGCTGACACGCAGCTAACTCGCTTTCAACATACTCGCAAACAACACCATCTGATACTCTTCGATTCTGAGGAAACCCGAATTGGAGGGGCACGACCACAGATCCGCAACCGATATTGGCCACAGATCATCCGCAGCCCGACACATCACCTGCACACCTGTCTGGCCACATGGAATGAGTTGTTCTCATGCCTTTTGTCCCTTTTGTCTCAGGGGCATAATACGCTCATGAGCAATCGCTGATCGGATGCCTTATCTGCCTCTGACGGCTAGATATCACAACCACCGAGAATACTACTACAGTATGTAGAAAAGTAGGCGTGCCATGCAGGAGCCCGAGTCCGCCACTACGTTTCATTTGGCCTAGTTGCATGTCGTAGATGTACCCAACCGCCCGTTATGGCAAGTAAATGTGAAGAGACTCAAATGGGCCATATGGTACCACAAGCTACAGCCCAGGTGGAGGGGTTATGCTGGCCAATCCTGAGCCATGAACTTCTTCCTTCTCCTCCTCCTCCTCCTCCTCCTCTTCTTCTTCCAGGTGTCATTGCTCCGGGGAGGCACTTGAAGCATAGTTTACAGGCAATGTCGTTACTGCTGAGGTTGAATACCTTTTTATACCTCTTTTCAGAACAAGAAGCTTGACAACTACCCCTACTACGCTGCATAGTCAGAGTGAGACTCAAGTCTAAACTTCACTGTAGGACAAGACATAACGGGGGTGAGAGAACTATCTACTTCGATTCGGATCAAATTTTACGAATCAAATGGCTCGAGAGACTCTTTCAAGGTCAGAAACAAAATGTTTGTCATTGTCTGATCAAACGCCCGACATCCCTCACCGCTGGTTTTGATGCATGGTCCCGTCGGAAGTTCCCAAGTGTCCTCATTACTCCGCAAATGGCCATGGTAAGTCGGTTTGTTAAAAGACAATGTTTGTCCCGGCCAGATATGAACAGCAGCTATCTCCGGTATCTCAACAAATACATATGTATCGGTGCTCCCTCTGCCAATCATTAGAGTCGCAGATTGACTGTACCATACACAGCATCAACCGTCGTCACTATGTTTTCCTGGCTTATCATCGAATTCTCAAGACAACATATATCGGGTTGGGCCAGTTGAAAGCTTTACAATAGCTTGCATGCTGAACATCTTGGGAACACCCGAGAATCAGAAGCACCATGTACATAACATATATGACTTGGTCGAGAATTCGCCCTTCATACTACGCATTCAACTGCATGATGTTCAAGGAGATTGTGTGATTGACTTGATATTGTTTCCGCTAGGCTGAATTGTAATGGCCAAGCTTGTTTAAGCTATGAATCCCCCAACTTTATCAGAAAGAGCTATGTTAACATTCTCAGATGCAAGACTATATATGTAAAATTGGCTAAGACCTCCAACTGAGACCTCTAAAATGATCGATTGATTTCCTCATCGTACAACCATTGGTTCTGCTCAGCCTGAGCCTCACTGATGTTATGTGAGGCTCCAAGCCGCCGTCTACCCCGGGCCTGGGCCTCGAGAGAACCACTTACCCCAGTGCAAGTTTTATACTGAAGTCAGGAACTTCGAGGACGATGCAACCACTACCAATCGGACAGCAAGCCCGGATCTATGTGCGACACATGCGATCGATTCGGCTTGACTCGGGTCTTTGTCTTCCCCTTCCATGACATAATCTGTCAACTGACCTCATCATGATTCAAGCCACGGCACCTACAAGTATATATAGAGATAACTTCTTCGTCCCCAAGGTTCTCAAGCCTTTCATCAGCGTTGAAGCCAAAATAATAAGTCAAACGATCAAATTAATATATTTATCATCCTATTCAACCACAACTTCGAACAACATGGGTTGCGATTGCGGTTCCGGAAACACCTGCGGATGCAGTGGACCTAGCAGCTGCACTTGCGGAAGCTCGTGCTCTTGCAAGCAGTGCGGCGTACGTTGAGATCCTCTCCCCATGAATTTTACAAGTCACTTACAGACATCCATAGAAGTAAAATCTTGCACCCCTATTGAATCCAGTCCAAACTGGTCACCTGAGTGATGAATCATGACGATGATTAATGGTAAAGGATGCGATTCGCCAAGGCGTGGAAATGTTCCTCTCGATTATCATGGACTTTAGGACTAAATGACTTAAATTATCAACCTATAATTTTTTACCCTTAACGATGACCATTATGTCCAAGATCCTGTAGGCTGAGCTCCAAAGAGATCAAGAACCACTATCGAGCAATAGGACATATGAAGAGACGGCAGACATGTTCGGTGGCGAGGGCTCTTATCTAGTGTCATGGACTTCGATGACCTTCTCTGAAGCGCAATCTTGTTTTGCCAAAAGGAAATCTATGTCCTGTATAAAATGTACATATCGCAAGTAAGTAATGTAAGGTCGAAAAGGCCATCGAGTTTAGCTGTGATGCTATTGACGATGGCGAGCTAGTATCTAATCCCATTGACCGGTGATCGTCCGTGCGGTCTCCAAGAAACGGCTGAGTAAACAGGTAGCCTGCACCGCCCCAGATATCCTTAGGAGAGCTTGGATTTCGAGACCTGAGAAAACGCCGATTCAATTGGAAATATTGTAGCAATAATTAACTTATAGTCGGATGTTAGGATTAGGCGTGCCTCGACTTCGCACACGACCCTCGTTGCTGGATCTGATTGCCAGTCAAAAAACCGCAGTGTTGTCGGGAGTTGGTTCGAGGTCGTCATCACCGCCTGAGCTAGAAGGCCAAAACCAGCAGTTGGAACTGCCACCGCTCCCCGTGTCGCCCACTTCATCATCCTGCAGCAGCGACAACAGCCTCTCCTCCCCTCTTTCTCCCATCCACCGCCGCCCCTCTTCCTCCACTCCCTCCATCCACGACCATACTTCACACAAGATGGCCCCATCCGCTGCTGATGGCGAGAACCAGCATGGTTCCGTCTTCTCCGTCTCCGGACCCGTCGTCGTGGCCGAGCATATGATCGGTTGTGCTATGTACGAGTTGGTAGGTTCTCCCCGCAGCTCCTTCTACCCCATAACAGTGCACGGGGGACTCGAATGTCGATACAACCCCACACTCAGCATTTATCGTCTCTGATAATCTCCGCAGTGTCGAGTCGGTCATGATCTGCTTGTCGGAGAAGTCATTCGTATCGATGGAGATAAGGCCACCATTCAGGTCTACGAGGAAACCGGTACAGCACCGTTCATCTCCCGCTTTCCACCATCTCAATCTCTAACAATTTTCGCTATCAGCTGGCTTGACGGTTGGCGACCCCGTTCAGCGTACAGGCAAGCCTCTTTCGGTTGAGCTCGGTCCCGGTTTGATGGAAACGATTTACGACGGTATTCAGCGCCCCCTGAAGGATATCTCCGAACAGTCCAAGGGTATCTACATTCCCCGTGGTATTGCAGTCAATGCCTTGGATCGTGAGAGGAAATGGGACTTCAAGCCTGGGAAATACAAGGTCGGCGATCACATCACTGGTGGTGACATCTGGGGTACCGTTTTCGAGAACAGCTTGGTGAATGACCACAAGATCATCCTTCCTCCCCGCGCGAGGGGTACTATTACCAGAATCGCCGAGGCTGGTAGCTACACAGTTGATGAGAAACTTCTTGAAATTGAGTTCAATGGCGTGAAGACTGAGCACAGTATGATGCACACCTGGCCCGTCCGTGTGCCCAGACCTGTGAACGAGAAGCTGGCCTCCGACTCTCCGTTCATTGTCGGCCAGCGAGTGTTGGACTCTCTTTTCCCCAGTGTCCAAGGTGGTACCGTCTGCATTCCCGGCGCCTTCGGATGCGGTAAGACTGTCATTTCTCAGAGTGTGTCCAAGTTCTCCAACAGTGATATCATCGTCTACGTCGGTTGCGGTGAGCGTGGTAATGAGATGGCTGAAGTGTTGATGGATTTCCCCGAGGTTTGTCGCTTTTCCCGCAAGAACACCAACGATTACTGATCAGCGTCTTTTTAGCTTTCCATCGACATCGACGGTCGCAAGGAGCCTATCATGAAGCGTACCTGCCTGATCGCTAACACCTCCAACATGCCTGTCGCCGCCCGTGAAGCCTCTATCTACACCGGTATTACGATCGCCGAATACTTCCGTGACCAAGGAAAGGACGTGGCTATGATGGCGGATTCCAGTTCTCGCTGGGCCGAGGCTCTCCGTGAAATCTCCGGTCGTCTGGGAGAGATGCCTGCTGATCAGGGTTTCCCCGCCTACCTTGGTGCTAAGCTTGCCTCCTTCTATGAGCGTGCCGGAAGGAGTATCGCCCTCGGAAGCCCCGAGAGAACCGGCAGTGTCAGTATTGTCGGTGCCGTCAGCCCTCCAGGTGGTGATTTCTCGGACCCTGTTACCAGCAGCACTCTCGGTATCGTCCAGGTTTTCTGGGGTCTGGACAAGAAGCTGGCCCAGCGCAAGCACTTTCCTTCGATCAATACGTCGATCTCCTACAGCAAGTATACCACGGTTCTGGACCGGTACTACGAGAAGCACCACCCCGAGTTCCCTCGTCTGCGTGATCAGATTCGTGAGCTTTTGACCAAATCGGAAGATCTGGACCAGGTGGTGCAGTTGGTCGGTAAGGCGGCATTGGGTGACTCGGATAAGATCACCCTGGATGTGGCTGCCATGGTCAAGGATGATTTCCTGCAACAGAACGGCTACAGTGACTACGATCAGTTCTGTCCCCTGTGGAAGACTGAGTACATGATGAAAGCTTTCATGGGCTACCATGACGAAGCGCAGAAGGCCGTTGCCCAGGGTCAGAATTGGGCCAAGGTTCGCGACGCCACGGGTGATATCCAGACCGCTCTGCGGAACATGAAGTTCGAAGTGCCAGACAACGAGGCGGAGGTGTCTAACAAGGTGAGTCCGATTATCTTGCATGCCACGACGTAATCATTCTAACTCTTTCCAGTATGAGAAGATCCTCCAAACCATGTCGGAGCGTTTCGCTTCGGTGTCGGATGAGTAGAGGATATCAACACGGCCGGGAGAGAATCTTCGGGATCGTGTCGTCATTTCTTTCTTTTGAATTTCAAGAGCTTTGTAGCATAGCAAATTCCCATTATCTGTAGTTATTGCAGTTTCGTTGAAGATCTTCCAGAAAATTCTATTTGCCCAACAATGATAGATTTTGAGCCCATTTGAGTCAGTGGTCAGGCAGCATCATTGTTTGGCCGGTTTGGGTGGCCAGAAGCACATGACGCGTCCCAGTGAATTCGTGGCTTTGCATTATGACATTCAAGAGAAAGAACTTTTGCTGCTGCTTCCAACCGTGTATTCTGTAGCGATACGTTGATTAACAGCAAGGCCTTGAGTCGCCACTATTGGTAATATTCTTTATGCTGTTGTGGCTTTGTAGTAGCTGTTGTATCGATCTTTATCTCACTGATCTGGGCCGAAGCGAAAGGCTACACTTGGCACTTCCCGTCGCCGCCGCCGCCGCCTTCGCTCACTCCGACACTCTTCCCCCTTCAACTTACCCCCCCCAAACCCACCATTCACAGCTACTACCCTTAACAGGCATTCATTCATACACTCGATTCCATACACTTGACTGCTGTCTTTCTACAGATAAAGCTTTTTTTGTTCTAATTTGGAGCGATTCTCTAATCATCATTGCCAGCCATGGCAAGCCCAACTGGCTTCTCGTGCGCAATCCCCCCTCCCCCTTGGGCCCTCGTGCCCTCGATGCTAGGTTGACTGGCTGACCTCGCTTGTCGGACAGGATAAATGTCAACGATCCCAGCTTGATCTCCCTGGTCAATAAGCTGCAGGATGTCTTCGCTACTGTCGGAGTAAGTGATTGCTGTTTCGTGGAGCTTTCCTGCGGCCCCTCCGCATACTGACACCGCTTGTTCTGTTTAGGTTCACAACCCCATCGACCTGCCTCAAATTGCCGTTGTCGGTTCGCAGTCTAGCGGAAAGAGTTCCGTCTTGGAGAATATTGTTGGCCGCGATTTGTGAGTGACCCTTATTGTCGCCATCGCAACCACTGTCGCATTCGCTGATTGCCAACCCTGCACCCCCTTAGCCTGCCCCGTGGTTCCGGAATTGTCACTCGCAGACCCCTCATTCTGCAACTGATCAACAAGCCCGCTGCCAACGCACAGACCAACGGTGTGAAGGAAGAAGAGTTGGAAGGCACGGATAAGGAGGCAAACGTGGACGAGTACGGCGAGTTCCTGCACATTCCCGGCCAAAAGTTCTACGACTTCAACAAGATTCGCGATGAAATCGTGCGCGAAACCGAACAGAAAGTTGGCCGCAACGCCGGCATCTCGCCCGCCCCGATCAACCTCCGCATCTACTCGCCCAACGTTCTGACGCTGACGCTGGTTGACTTGCCCGGTTTGACCAAGGTGCCGGTGGGTGATCAGCCCAAGGACATCGAAAAACAGATTCGGGACATGGTCATGAAGTATATCAGCAAGCCCAATGCTATCATCCTTGCTGTCACTTCCGCTAACCAGGATTTGGCCAATTCGGATGGCTTGAAGCTGGCGCGCGAGGTGGATCCCGAGGGTCAGCGTACCATCGGTGTCTTGACCAAGGTGGATCTGATGGACGAGGGCACCGATGTCGTGGATATTCTTGCAGGCAGGATTATCCCCTTGCGCCTGGGTTATGTGCCGGTGGTCAACCGCGGTCAGCGCGATATTGAGAACAAGAAGCCCATTGCGTATGCGCTGGAGAACGAGAAGAACTTCTTCGAGAACCACAAGGCTTATCGCAACAAGTCGTCATACTGTGGAACGCCCTATCTTGCCAGGAAGTTGAACTTGGTGCGCATAGCTCCCTGGTACATGACTGTATGTGCGCTAACCATGCCATAGATCCTCATGATGCACATCAAGCAAACGCTTCCCGACATCAAGGCCCGCATCTCGTCCTCTCTTCAGAAATACTCTTCCGAACTTTCGCAGCTTGGCGACTCGATGCTCGGTAACAGCGCTAACATCATACTGAACATTATCACCGAGTTCAGCAATGAGTACCGCACTGTGCTGGAGGGTAACAACACCGAACTTTCGAGTATTGAGCTGTCCGGAGGTGCCCGTATCAGCTTCGTGTTCCACGAGCTCTACTCGAACGGTGTCAAGGCAGTCGATCCTTTTGATCAGGTGAAGGACATTGATATCCGTACTATCCTCTACAACTCTTCCGGATCGTCACCAGCTCTCTTCGTTGGCACGACCGCTTTCGAATTGATTGTGAAGCAACAGATCAAGCGACTGGAGGATCCTAGCTTGAAGTGTATTTCCTTGGTGTACGACGAACTCGTCCGCATTCTTGGTCAGCTTTTGAACAAGCAGCTCTTCCGGAGGTATCCTATGCTAAAGGAGAAGTTCCATGCCGTGGTCATTGGATTCTTCAAGAAGTGCATGGAGCCGACCAACAAACTGGTTCGGGATCTTATCGCCATGGAGACGGTTTACATCAATACTGGACACCCCGACTTCCTCAACGGACACCGCGTAAGTTATTCGCACAATGTTTGTAGCTGAGCGATACTGACCGATCAGGCCATGGCTATTGTCAACGAACGTCAACTTGGAAGCAAGCCGACGCAAGTAGACCCCAAGACCGGCAAGCCCCTCCCTCCGCGGGCCAACAGCCCTTCGGTCGAGACCCCTACCGACACCGGCAGCTCTGGGTTCTTCGGCAGCTTCTGGGCGTCGAAGAACAAGAAGAAGATGGCTGCTATGGAGCCGCCACCGCCCACTCTGAAGGCCTCTGCCGCCCTGTCCGAGCGGGAGAGCAGCGAAGTTGAAGTGATCAGTGAGTACTGTTGAATATCTTTGCAGATTGGATGCTTACATAAAACAGAGCTGCTTATCACATCGTACTTCAACATTGTCAAGCGCACCATGATCGATATGGTTCCCAAGGCCATCATGTACACCCTTGTCCAGTAAGTTCGATCCCACGAGCTTTTTATATTTGATACTAACACAGAGCCAGATTCACCAAGGATGAGATGCAGCGCGAGCTCCTGGAGATGATGTACCGCAACAACGAGTTGGATGAACTCCTCAAGGAGAGCGATTACACCATCCGCCGGCGGAAAGAGTGCCAGCAAATGGTGGAGAGCCTATCCCGCGCTAGCGAGATTGTCAGCCAGGTTCAGTGAGTCCCAAAGTTGAATGGTTGATTTTACTTTTCATACACCCGGTTGCTTTCTGTTGTCCTGGTAGCCAGTCTTTTTGGAGGGGCTCAGTCTCTTGCGGGGAGTTGATGATGCCTTATGTTTATATTTTCTTCTGATGCAAGAATTCCACGGCCGCATGGTGGATGAACGGTTGCCAAGATTTGACGAATTTGTATCGCCTAATGACTGCGGATGATTGCGGCTTGTTTAGAATTGAGACCATTTTGCAGATTAGCAGTTGCAATGTACAGTAACTCAAGGAGAGGGCCCGTACTGTTTAGGTTTGATGTATGATGAAGCATGCCCTCTCAACATGGGTAGCAGCTGTTCCTTGTAGGTACAGTGGTCGCAAGGTGGAGCTTATTAGTGGATAATTAAAGTACTTCTAAAACTGCCTGGACGTATGCTAGCCTCCCACAATCACTAGAATATCATCTACAAGAGGCAGCCTACCTCAAATCCTTCCTGATAAAGTAGGAAATGTACACATGTCCTTGCCAGTGAATGGGATGCATTGCTAAATTGTTGGGTGCAGTGGTGGACTGACCTGTATACCAAAAAGGGCTTAGCGTACCAATGAAGTGGGTCACTATCAGATAAGCCCATGTTTAGCGTGACTCGCGTGGCCAATAGCCGCTCGGCTCGGTGATCCGAAGTATATCACCACCGTAGGTGCCATGTTGCTGGGTAGAATATGTATGAAAGGGATAATCATATCTACGCAAGATGGCAAGCAGAAAAATGAAGAAATTTAGCTTATATGCCTTCGTTTAGAAGTCTCAAAGGCTGAGTAACACGCTGTAGTGAGGGTGATTACCATCAGGCAACGATCACTGTGATCGAGCTGCCTTTCACTTCTCTTATCCTCTCCACCCTCCTCCTCTCTCTTCGTCTGCCTCTCTCACCTTTGTTTCCTCTTCATCTCCCACACTCGCTCCATTGCTCTCTGTAAAGCTTCATCTTTTCTTTCATCTCTCTCTCTCGGCCAGTAATCATTCTCTCCCCCCCACCTCATCTCACATTGAGCGTCCCACCATCTCCCGCTTGTTTCCAATTCAAGAACTGAAGCCAAGTAAGTTAACACTCACCGTAGCCACAGATCACATACTGATACCATCAAGCATGTGTTTCGGATACAGATTTCCTGTCATCTTCACCAGATGCACCCAGGAGGTCCGTCATCTCGCTTGGAAAGAAATCTACTTCCAATGCCGTGACCGGTGCAACGATCCGACGAACTTCAAGCCGTACGTACCCCACACCTTACGTTCTGTAAAAGCCCCTTCCCACTCACCTGTTTCCTCAGTTGTGAGCAGAACAGTATGCAGGACTTTGTTACAGTGGGCAGCTTGTATGTGAGGAACGCCCCATGCCGCCTCTGCCAATGGGACTTCAAGGCCGAAGGCTTCGATCCGAGCAACGGTGCGAGACTCTGCCAAGTGAGTTCTCTCTCTCACACCTTCCTGCTTACCCTTTCCTCAACAAGGAAAAGACATACTGACCGAGACTCCCCATCACGGGAGAAACAGGTCATCAAGCGTCCTCACGATTACGAACTCAACTGGATCATGGAATACATGAACGACCTCCTCCCCGTCGGCTCGCGGGCCATCCCTCCAGTTGAGACAACCAAGAACCCTCGCAGCATGGTCGATTACTGGCTGGCCGTCGAGGAACCAGCGGCCGATGACGACACGGATGACAGTGACGACTCCGAGGCGTCCGAGGACGACGTCGCTGACGATTTCGACTTCGTCACTGATGAGGACTACACTTCTGATTTCGAGGTGCTTGCTGAGTTCGAGCTGTAAGCGGGTTTGACAAGTTCGTTGATCAGCTACGAATCGTGATACCTAGCTTACATCTCCTTTCATATTTGGTTCATCGTTAATCGCTCTTTGTTCTTGATTGCGTGCTTACGCTGTACTTCAACATCCTTCTGGTCTGCTCTCAGCGAGCTCTGTTGGGTATTGATGTTCCCAGCAAGCATGGTCTTCTGTTGTTTTGCTTGTTCTGTGACTTTTGTGGTTTAGGGGGTGTTCGCTGAAGGATACGGCTGGGTTTGCTATGGCTCCTATCTTGCCATAGGGTATGCATGGCTGATCGGTCGGTATGGTATGGAGCTTTGGTGTTGATGGTTGTTACTCAGTGTCGTCTCATTTCCTCTCGTTATTTAATCTGTTTTGATCTCAGCCGAATATGGGAGATGTCTGTGTCTGGCTATGGCTTCCACCTTGTCGTGGGGTATGCATAGTCCGGCCGTGGCTTCTGACTATTTTCGCTGCTGTGCTTATGTCTCTTTCTTCCCAATGGTTGTCAATTTGGCTTCATTAGTGCAACAGTTGTGACACTTGACATGACATATTTGTGGTTGGATTTCAGGCCTTTGGAGTTCGTCTCGACCGTGTTTCTGAACATCTCTAGAGAAATTCACATAGCCAGCCATAATCCAACAACGTTGCAAGTTTGCACCCACTCTCTAAATCTGCAACTATCTCCTCTAATCCAAAGAAAAAGACAGTCTATGCAATCGAAGAATGTCTATACGTATAATGCCACCCCTCCCTCTCCATATCCTCACGGACCTTATAATTCTCCTCCGCGATCCTCACCAGCCCCAAATCCATGTCCACCACCAGCACCCCTTCCTCATCGCCCATCTGCCCCACCGGCCCAACGACCGGCAACACCACCCGCGAGAGGCCCATGAACTTGTCCTCCGGATCCTGGCCCCGCGCGACATTGGCAAAGATGATCCCGCAGGTATTCTCAAAGCACCGCGCCGTGAGGGTCGTCTCGAGGAACAACTTCTCCGACTCCGGGTTATGTTTCAGCATCGCGGGCGAGGCGTCGTAGCGACTCCCTGTCGTAAGCCTTCAGTTAGCCTGTCTCTTAACTAGAAAGCTACAAACCACCCCTCCCACCCATTACCCACCGAGCGCAGCCACCCAACCCACCAATCCCCAAAAGACAACAAATCAGAACAGAGAAAAAAGGCGAACTCACAAAACGTCGGCAAAACCACCACCTCCGCGCCCTTGGAGATCAACTCGCGGAAGGCCTCCGGGAACGCCAGATCCCAACAGATCAGAAGCCCCACCTTCCCCAGCGGCGTGTCGAACACCTCGTGCGGCTCCTCCCCAGATGACGTCAGGTATTCGCGCTCCGGGTGCCAGATGTTCTTCTTGCGGTAGTGGCCCAGGATGCGGCCGTCGTGGGAGATGAAGTACGCCGTGTTGTAGAGGAGGGCGTCCTTTTTGCTTGCCTCGGTGGGGTTGGTGGTCGCGGGCTGCGGCTCGTGACGTTCGACGATCGTGCCGGGGACGATGCAGATGTGCAGGTCGCGGGCGAGGGCTTGGTAGGCTTGTAGGTATTCCTGGGTGGAGGCCGCGTGGTCGAGCCAGAGGGGGTCGGAGGGGGCCCAGCCGTTTAGGTGGTATCTTTTTTTGTTTTGGGTGGGTTAGTGTGGTGGGTTTGGGGAGGGAAAGTGCCCGGGGGAAGGGGGGTGGTGCGGGGGTTTGAGGTATAGGGTGAGGGTGCAGATGCTTACTCTGGGAGGACGGCGAGTTCAGCACCTTGGGCTGCGGCTTCGCGGATGTAATCGCATGCTTTGCGGTGGTTTTCTTCGATGGCTAGGTCCTGCGGGGGCTGGTTAGCGATTTGCTGCGATTCAGCGTAGGTAGCGAGCGACGTACCTGGATGTTCCATTGGATGACGGCTACTCGATGGATGGGTGCCATTGTGGGTTACAGTTATGTGAGGGATAACAAGCAAAGGGCAATGTCTTGTGGAATGCGACGAGAGAGAAAGTCATGATGGTCATCCAGTGCCGGGAAGTTGGAGGTTGGAGATGGTGGAGTCATTGAGTTCCCCGCGTTGGAGTCGCCTTGATAAGAGCGGGGTGTGTGTTTATGTAACTCTTTCCTTCCTTCTGCAACTTTTCATGAACTTCGAGATAAGACAACACCAAACAGGATGCTTGCAATTTTGAATTGTTATGAATGTCAGACTATCACTACTGACTATTTTCTCTTCGAGCGCAGATAGCAACATCAGGATGTGTAGGGCTTTTTCAAACGCGCAAGCCATATCATGAAGCTGATCCTGCTCCAGGGATGAAGACCTCTTCGCGTCAATTCAAATTAATTTGGACGAGCGACCACTCCCAGCATCCAAAACCCTCCACTGTTGAGATTGCAGATCTTCGTGCCGCCGGCTCTCCAGAATCCAAGGCCGGTGAAGCTGCCATTGGCCAGGTGGCAAGACCCTACAAGGGGACTGGATTGAACCTCCCCACGATGGTCGAGTAGCTCGAACAATGGCTGTTCGATCAGTGGCTGGATGATATACATGGTGCGACCTGGTTCAAGCCCAGGGTCACGAAGATCAAGCAAAAGACTATCCCATTGGGAGACGGACAGCTCCCTACCGAGCAGAATTCCGTCCCCTCGACCACTCCGAACCGGCTTGATGATGAAATTATCTTTATGAATTAGGGATCGGCTCTGCTGGTCGATCAAATTGCTCAGCTCCGGAGACCCGGGGTTTATGGTAGGTACGACGCCGTGCCGAAGGATCGCTGCTTGCTCTGGTGTAAGGACTTGCTTGCTGACAAGGCTGTCAAGTTCTTGGAGCAGCACCCCAAGGATCCGCTTGTCGTGAATGAGAAGGACGCTTCTCAAATCATTGACACAGTGCAGCGCAAGGTGTCGCAAGATGTCTGTCGGGATGGAGCGCAGTTCATGCTGGAATAGATGAAGCCCGGTTTGGTACACACGGTCCAGACGCTCACTGTCCGTGCTGACCATGTCAGGACAGTCCTTGTCAGACAGGCAGTAAAGGTCATATCCAGTCTGCGAGTTGTTACTCTTTATCAAGCGAAGGTCTGCTGACTTGATTATAGTCGCACTAATTCTTCCACTTTGTTCAGCAAAGGAGACGAACATGTCGATGTAGGGCGTTCGATACTGGTCGCGCACGATATGTATTGGGTACTTCGGATCGAAAATATCTAGCTGACTTTTGATAAACTGGGTCATAGTCAGAACACTATAGTTGCTCACAAGGACGAAGGCTCTCTACATACCTTTCGTGCGTCTGCACCTGCAAAGACACAGCCTCTTTCAGCCGCCATCTCCTCGTATATCTGATAGCCATAGGCTGCAAGGAGCTGTGCATTGATGGAGTATCGTGCGTTGATCTCACAGATCTTGACGGTACCTGGGTGATCCGAAGGAAGAAGGAGATCAGATCGCCAGTGTCCCTGACAATTTCTGAAAGGTCTCAGATTGTTCGCTTCAGACTGCTCATGCAACCACTAAGCGGGAAGGTCAGCACCGTTGCCAAAGGTCAAGTTGATGAGTGTCTCACGCGTAAAAGATCTTCTTCATGTGGTTCCAGTGGCATCCTTCGGGGAAACGCAGCCTGTTCATCGGTCCACCAAGTGTCCACGATGCTGCTAAGTCCGCTGACTAGTGCCTCGTGCAGCTTCGCTACACTCCTTTGAAGTCTTTCAGGTAAGAGGAGCGGGTTTGGAGAGTTGTTGTTCACATTTCCCCGACAACCGCTGGTGAGAGACTCGAAGTACGTGTTAAATGTCTGCTTCTGTTTATACTGTACTTCCTTCTGGGCAGATTTCGGAGCCACAGGGTCTGCTGGACTTATGGTTGAAGCCAGACAAACCTGATGGATGCCGTATTGAGTGACCATCTTGAATTGCTTTACTGAGATGTGCGATTGTGCAAGCATTTTCTAACAACTTCAAGCTTCGTTCTCTGGTCCCGTTTAAATATCTGGCCCTACCCCCTATTTGGAGCGTTGTCCTGAGTCAAAAGCATCTTCTGCATTGACATCGCCACCTTGTCCCTTCTCAAACACACAGCATACTCTTCTCGAGAGCTCGGAAATCTATCGCGCTTTGCGCTTTCTCAGCGGTTGGCGACTGAGCCGTCGGCATTGGAATCCTCGGCAAAGCAATGCGAAGTGTATCCTTTGTGCTGAAGTAGGAATTGAGTCCAAAGCGCGGTCCATTTTCCCTTCGGCCTCATATTGCTTCCTTGATTGACTTGCTCTGGCTCGAGAGAGCTTGATTGCATGCCCAAGACCCCTATGAGGTCGAAGTGCCAGTCTCACGATGTCACGGATTGTTTAAAACCAAGTGGAATCTTTTGCAATTGTGAATTGAAGGTCCAGACCTGAGCGCTCTCGCTTCGGACTGCCACATTGTTCTTTCATGAAGACGGTCAATTCCCCGCGCTTGAAGGTTAATCCGACATGAGAATGAGGGATAAGTTCAGTCGAGAACCAAATGAGAGCTCTGACCCCAGGGACAGTCGTCAGCTCTCAGGGGTGCAATCAGCTTAATCTATTCGACATCTGTTGAACAATGAAACCTGGATCGAGCGACCGGCAACAGAGGAAGGGTTGCGCACGAATTGGTCTCACAAGACCTATCCGTGTGTTACCATCACGAGACATAGTGAAGTTGCCGGACAGATGGCCCCTCAGGTATCCAGGACCTCAAGATGAAGTGGTTATCGCGATAACGAAAAAGAAGCCGTCGGGCATCAGCACTTAAAAACAGGCACCAGGCCCAGAATGGAATATCAGGAACTGGTTCAGGTGGATCCGACCCGCGAGGCAAATCAAGGCCTCGGCCAATTGCTAAGCAATGAGGACATGTGCGCACTTGCCTCATTGCCTCTACATAATTTCCACCGGCACGTCATTCTTTCTGCCTTGTAAATCACCACATTCCGCACACCTCCATCGAGCACTTTACGCTTCATCAGAACTTTGGAGCGATGGCACCCCTCACAGCAGAGGAGCTCGTTAAGCATCCGGCGTACCCCACAGTCGAATGGGAACTGACCCCAACAACATCCGGGAAACAAGCAGTGGCCCAGACCCGCCGTGGAGGGCCGATCAATCTGCACTATGAACTGCACGGCACTGGCCCAGTGAAGCTCGTCGTAAGTCTCAAGTGTGATTCTCAACCCATCGGGGTTCAACGGTGGCACTGACACGGACCGTACAGTGGATTATGGGCCTTAACGGGACCCTGAAGGACTGGCGACGCCAGACCAGGTACTTTGGGCACAAGCACGGGTCGCGATACACCTGCTTGGTGTTTGACAACCGTGGCGTCGGCCTTTCAGACAAGCCGGTCTCCTACTACTCGACCTCCGAAATGGCCCAGGACATGGTCGACCTGGTGAGCTCGTTGGGATGGATCGATCTGGCCGGTCCGCCCGAGCGATCCATCCATGTTATTGGCGCTAGCATGGGCGGCATGATAGCCCAGGAGGTCGCGATGCTTATCCCCGATCGCCTGGCGAGCCTGATGCTGAACTGTACGGCCCCGCGGCTGGTGCGGACAGGCCCGTTTGTGGAGAACCTGCGGCAGCGGGCGAACATGTTCATCCCTCGCCACATCGACGTGGAGCTGGAGCGGCTGGCGAAGAGCATTTTTGCCGACGAGTTCCTCGCGGAGCCCGACACTGAATACGAGGACCCCGCGAAGAATTTCCCGACCAAGCGCGATCGCTTCGCTGCGGGCGTGATTCGGAAGCGAGCCAACACCGACGAGTATACCAAGAAGGGGTTCTTGATGCAGATTGTCGCCTGCTATTTCCATCACAAGTCAGCGGCGCAACTGAAGACCCTTGGGGATCGAGTAGGCAGAGACCGCATCGCCGTGACTCATGGCACCAAGGACTTGATGCTGACGTTTCGGCACGGGGAGATCTTACGCGAGGAGATTGGTGATGGGATCACCTGGAGGGCCTTTGAGGGGAGTGGCCACATGTTGGGTTGGGAACGAGAAGACGAACTGCACGAGCTGATTGAAGAGATTGTGAACCGATGCAATTAGAGGATGATCTTGGGCAAGAGCATACACCATTTCCCTGCATGACTGAATTAACGACTGTACATTAGACTAAGATTATATTCTGATGATGAATTAGAAATGCTGACAACTTTGTCCCGCAATCGAAGGTACATACAGGACAGTACGCAGTAGACAGGTCGCAGTGACTGGTGGCGACTCGTATAGCTGCACTGACTGCACGTAGCTGAAACCCTCGTGACCAGCCACACCAGACACACCAGCGGTCAGCTGCTGCCCAGTGCCCATCAACTGCATCTCATCTCATCTCATCTCATCTTACCTCAACACCAATCATCACGTCTCCTCTCCTTCCATTCATTCCACAAACTCACTGGATATAGTATATAACAACAGCAACACCCAACCCCGTTTCCTGAAGAACCTCCCGCCCTCACCTCCTCACCTCCTCACTTCTTTACACACCACACCCTTAGCATAGTTTTGTATACCACATAACCAAAGACCATGCCGCCCCACCCCAAAGACGACAGCTACGAGCCCGCCTCATCCCGCGATGCCCGCTCACCCTGCCCGGTGCTCAACAGCCTGGCCAACCACCACCGCCTGCCGCACGACGGCCGCAACATCACGGCGCCGCAGCTCCGCTCCGCGCTGGGCTCGATCGGGCTGGGCGCCGACGTCTCCGCGCTGCTGGTGTGGCGGGCCTTCACGATCCACAGCGACGACGCCGAGTTTGGGCCGCACGGCTCTATCGGCGGCCTCCGCGACGCCACCGACCTCAACGCCGCGGGGGAGCCGGTGCTCCACCTCGACAAGGTCGGCCGCCCGCACGCCATCGAGCACGACGTCTCCGTCACGCGCCAGGACCGCGCCCTCGGCGACCCCATCCCCCTCGACCCCGCCCTCTACGAGCAGTTCCTCGGCTCCACCCCGCGCGGCGGCTTCGGCGTCCCCGAGCTCGGCCGCTACCGGAAGGTCCGGTACGCCGAATCGCTGAAGAGCAACCCTTCCCTCAAATTCGGGCGCCGCGAGCACTACATCGCCTGTGGGGAGTTGGCCGTGCTGCGGTGTTTGTTCGGCGAGGGGGCGGGCAGGGGGATCCCGAAGAGCTATCTGCAGGCGCTGTTTGGGGAGGAGCGCTTGCCCTTGGAGGAAGGGTGGAGGCCGAGGCGGTGGGTTAAGGCGTTTTTGCCCGAGGCTGCGGCGGTCATTCTTGCGATTTCGAGGTATGCCTGGCCTTTTTGAGGGGGGTTGTTGGGTTGAGGGAGGGGAGAGGGTGGGGAGGTGGAGGTGGGAGGTCAGCATGTTGTTCTAGAGCCGGGTTGGCGAGTCCGGGAGTCTGGATTATCAAGTGTCTTGGTACGTGGTGGTGCTGAGAGGCTAGAGGTCTGTCTGTTCAGCTCGGATGGATTGCGCCTCAGGGTTCAGCGCCTGGCAAGTATAGCCGACCCGTGCGGGTGTGTTGGCTGAGCTGCTTATCTTATGGCTGCAAGTGGTCGGTATATCAGACTGGACTGCATGATGGGACGACTGCTCAGCATTGACGTGGAAAGTTCGTGCAGTCCCGTATCTGAAAGCAGATTTCGGGCCGACCGGATGGGAGTCTCGGCTGAGAGGTATAGTATTACTAGTATAGCCTGAAGAGTACCTCGTGTGTCTACGGCGTTCTCGGCCAGCTTGGCGAGCGCTTGTCTCGTGTGACGTCCCTATTTAAGCTTCTATATCGTGTTCAGATGGTGTGTATGGCTTGAGTTGGGAGGTATCTTATCAACATGTCATCTCCGTTGCAGTATCTCCTACGACTTACGGTAGTCGAGCACCTCCTCCGTGAGTTTTCTCACTGAGCCTGAGAAATACTCCAAGTGCTTTAGTTATCATTTGCGAGTAATTACTTAGGATGCTGCAAAAGACCGATGCCACAATACAGAAAGCCAATCATGTTCTTCCCGGGTACCTGGAACCCAGCTTCAAATGCTTCTGGCTCGAACCCTAAATGTAATCGCATGCTCGGGTTGGCAAGCCGTGAGTTGTATTATCCAGCGTTCGCCCTTGTGATACATATCTAAGCAGCTTACCAGGTCGGTGCCTGAGCAGGTCTCTTCTGTGGACTCGGTGGGTACGGGATGCATGGCCGCAGGACAGGAACTCATTATGCAGCTTGTATAGTCAATACACTAGAAGAGCTTATCGCCTGGCGAGTCATGCAAAGGCTCCTTTGGTTCCACAGGTTGAGCCCCGCGGGTTTCGCCAATGATGTGCCCAGTGTTGAAATAAGCATATCCCTTCTGATATAAGTAGACTTTGTACTCCCAGAGAACTGGATGACAGCAACTTAAACCAATGGCATATCACTCTCCTCGATCATAGACAGAGCACCAATACCACTTCAGGGTGAAGTCATCAACAGTCAAACAACAGCAGCAGCAGCAAACACCTCTTTTGCTCAGTACTATCATACGAACCCCCTACACGGTAGACAAATGTGACCTGTCGCACCAACCGCGTCATCACAAACCCCATACACTTGGCTTGAATACCTCACAGAGAACCTTCAGTATGTATGACTAGGACTGCTACTATAATTATACCTCTCCACCACTATCACACAGTCACCAAATCACGCAGTCCCGAAGCTCCATTACGCAGGAACAGACACCGACCAGCGGAACAACGCCTCACCTTTCCCCCTTCCCCCTTCATCGAACCACTTTATTCCCCGAGCTCAGAGGCTACTGCAGGAACGCGCTGGGTGAGGGATCATCAGGGGAGGTGGTGGCCAGTTGCCACCGCATGGAGTACGCGCGTCGAGTTGCGATCACTGCCCGGATGGATTGGTGAGGAATGGGCTTTACCCCTGCAGGATGCATGAGATTGATCTTATAGATCGGAACAAGCTGCGAGTAAGCTTCGTAGAGTCGCTGTGAGGGTCGATTATGATGGTTGATTGTTTTGGTGATTGCTTGTGTCTTGGTGGGGGTGGATTGTGTGTATTGGGATGAGGGAGAGCTTAGCTTTGGCGGATGATGGATGTGGTAGGCTACTGTACATCTACTCCAGTATAAAAATAGTACGTAATCTACATCGGCTAAGGAGGCTACCTGGGTAAAGTACAGCAAGAAATCTACAGTACCTAGCTTAGGTGATACTATCTGATTGGGGGTTTACTACAGGCTTGAAGCAACTGCTTTGGAGCAGGTCGCCGCCGTACCTTCCGAAAGAGTAACATTCACAAGTAATTATCAAATCCTACAAGGCGGTCGATCTCAACTGCTCTTACATCGGTATCCCATCTAATCTGCTCCATTTGTGTGCACTTACCTTTCTCAACCTTCCTAGCTATTCCAACTCGGATATAGTCCCCCGGCAGACATTTCGTCATCGCGACTGGATAAACATCAATAGATTGTGTCGATCGATCCAACCGACTCCCACTGATTGCTCTCTCCTTGCCGTTTCCCCTCGAAAGCGGAGAATCCGCTGGATCCAGAGCGTTCGGAGAATAATCCTCCTGCCAACGCAGTCTCCACCCAACGATGAACAAGTCAGAGCAAGGCTCACAGACGTCATTCACAGGTGGCCTGCCCGGCAGTCTCGATAAGCCATGGCTATGCTCACCGCATCGAGACCAGGCTGACAGCAAGTCAACAACCATAATCACAAGGCCAGCCCCCTCGGAGATCTTCAGTCTGCGCCCTAAGCCATCCATAAGTTACTTTCTATACTAACATTTAGTCCAGTATGTACACAAGATATTTCCCCGCATCATGACCTACACTAGTCACGACATCTCTAGCGCAGGTCGCACCATCACCTGGTCAACTGCGGCACGCAAGCAGAGCATCAAGCAAGCAACAATCCATCTTGCCCTCGTGAGATGATCATGGTCTCAGTCGATCCCGCGTTTCTGGGCGATTTCTCGGCGACGGCTTGGACCGAGTTCGAAGGAGGAATGAGATGAGGGGAAACGATGGGATTACATAAGTCCAGTGAACAAGGCTGTGCAACCCCTTCCTTCGATCGCCCCCCCAAACTGGTAACCACAAAGATGCAGAAGTACCCAAGATGTCATGACCAGATGCAAGGGCGCTCTCACCTCACTGTTGGTGCGTTGCTGCTGACCGTTTCTCGAAGACTATCCCAATGTCAGGAACGGTTGGTTTGCTTGGGTATCGGGGAAATTCCCCACACGGTACGTACTGTACGGACGGTATGTATGCTCTGATGTCCGCCGTCCGGGATGGAGGTTTGGCGTAGCCCACTGACCAGCAGTTAATCAGCAGATCATGGAGATCAATCTAATTCCCAATCACGACATCCCGAAGCAGATGGCAACAAGGACAAGACATCCAACGCGACGGCTTGACTCCATTTGGCGGGTCTGCCCCAATGATGATCGCCCGATGGCTTACCCAAAGACCTCAGCAAGAGGCGCGCACTAGACACGGCTCTGGGGATACTTGGGGACACTAACCAGTCACTAAACAGGCACTAAACAGCCCGTCATCGGTATCCACGCATCCAATCAATCCTCGTCTACACCAACTGCACCAACTGTCGCGCCTGCATGGCTTGACACGTATCTACGGCCCTGCCGGCTTGTCAACACATCAAGGCAAGCAACCCAGCCAGCCCAGTGGGAAGACAGAGGAAGAAGAGAACCAGACCGACTGGCTTAGTAACTTATGCAACCACAACAAACAAACAAAGATGACGATGAGGTAAGATAATCCGACCGTATTCTTCCCAAAGGTAATTTGCATACCTATACGTCCAGTACTCAACCAACCGAGCCACAAAATGTCAATTAACCCCTCCTTTCTACTCCGTATAAGCCTTATAGTTTCAAGCCCTCCTTCTCTCAGGGGAAAAGAATCATGCGGGCCGAAAAGAGCAATGTGATGGAGGGCCACCCGATCGATCAGCTGCCTAACACTCTTAACCTAAAGTCTTGTGTAGCTTTTCTTTCGCTTAACCTTTTTCTCCTCCATTTCTTATTCCAATAGTTTATGCAGTGTGAAGCTTCCCGGAGTCTTTTTTGCATTTCTCGCTTACTCCAATCTAGGGGGAAAGGGAGAGAGGGAAACTTAGCCTGGGCCGCCACTGTTGTTATCTCCGATTACCCTGATTATCATACTGACGATGGACCAAGTCCAAGTCCAAGTCCAAGGGCTGTACAGCCTACCACGACCCGCTTTCCAGCATGAAATTCCGTTCTATAATCCGAGCGATCCACCAGACCACGGTAGCTAACGTTAGTTCATAGGCCCTTTGCTAGAGTTAAGACTATTCGGACCCGGTATGATTGGTCTCGGCCTGCGCAGCAAGGGAGTAAACTGTTAGCCTTAGCATCTTCCTCGACCTTGACAGAGTAGTTCAGTCCGAGAATGACGAGAGGTCAATGCATGCGTAAGCTCAGCTGCCAGGCCACTTTCTGCAGCAGACAGGATGACAAGAAAATAAATCAGAAAGAAAAAAAAAAAGAAAGTAAAAATTGTCAGAAGGGTGACATCGTTGAAGCATGCATGCACGCCGAACTTCCCAATGGTACATAAAAAGGGCCATCTGCTCGACCAGATGATAGAGGTTTGAATGGTAGGAAAGCAGGCCCGTCCCTTGTTTTCTTCTTCGTCTTTTCCTCTTTCCCTGCCTAACACGACTCTTCTTGGGTCCATCATCATGCTTCCCTACGTTCTCCTTCTGCTGTTCACAGCCTTGGTGAATGCCTATTCAGACCCGGGAGCCTGCTCGGGGTCCTGCTGGGCTCACGACCCCAATGTCATCCGCCGCAAGACGGACGGCAAGTTCTTTCGCTTTTCCACCGGACTGGGGATCTTGATCTCGTCCGCCAGTGCCATCACCGGGCCCTGGACCGATTTGGGGTACGTGCTGCCCAATGGTTCATCGGTGACAGTGGGGAATGCATCCAATCTCTGGGTAAGACAATAGTCCCTCAATAACCCTACTACGGGTTTCCCCCCCCTTCTCCCTTCCCGTCGGGTAGCCCTAAGTCAAACATTCCTCGACTCACCAGATGTAACTCCAGGCCCCGGACGTGCACTACGACAGTGGAACCTACTACCTGTACTATGCCAGCTCCACGCTGGGCAGCCAAAGCTCGACGATCGGGGTGGCCACCTCGACGACGCTGGAGGCGGGCTCGTGGACGGACCACGGCACCATCGGGCTGACCTCGTCGTCGGCCAACACGTACAACGCGATCGACGCCAACTGGATCTCCATCGGAGGCACCGGGTACCTGCAATGGGGCTCGTACTGGCACGGCCTCTACCAGGCGCCCATGACCAGCTCGCTGCAGATCAGCTCCTCCACCCCGACCAACCTGGCCTACAATGCCTCGGGCAACCACGCCATCGAGGCGTCGTACCTCTTCGAGTACGGGGGCTACTACTACCTCACCTTCTCCAGTGGGCAGGCGCAGGGCTACACCAGCGGGCTCCCGGCACAGGGGCTCGAGTACCGCGTCGTCGTTTGCCGGTCGAAGACGGGGACGGGCAACTTTGTACGTTCACTACTCTTTCTCTTTGGGCCCGATCGTTCCGTGAGGTCATGAAGACTCAGGCAATTGCTAACACCGCCCAAAACAGGTCGACAAGAGCGGCGTCGCATGCACTAACAGCGGTGGAACCACCGTCCTCGCCAGTCATGACTACGTCTACGGACCCGGTGGACAGTGAGCTTCCCTTTTCTTTTTGTCTTTCCCCCGCAGCCTCCGAGATCCGATCCGAAGCCTATTCCCCACATCCTCCACCCCACCCCACCCCACCCCATATCCACAATGGCACCCATACATCATGATTGCATTACCATCTGAACGAACACATACTAACCGGAGGTGCACTTCAAGGGGCATCGTCAACACCACCAACCACGGCATCGTGCTGTACTACCACTACGCCAACCCCAACATCGGCCTGGACACCTCGCAGTACCAATTCGGCTGGAACACCCTAACCTGGGTGGACGGGTGGCCGACCGTTGCCTGAATTTACAGGCTCATCCGACACAGTATACGTATACCCTTGCTTGCTTGCATTGTAGATGCCTTGCACCCATGGGGAGGGTGGGTCGGCGAGAGGCGACCTTTCGAGATCAATCAACAAAACCTGACACAAGCTCACTGGTGAGGGAGCAGGTCACTGCCTTCCGAATTGGGAAAATAATCGTCATGACGTTTTGACCTTCGAAACAAGAATTTCGGTCTCGATTGCGAACGGACGACGGCGCTTGTTGGCTGGATTTCCCCATGGGTTTAGAGTGGAATCTTCCCCGGGGTGTGGGTATGAGGAGACGAGGGGGGGGGTAACACTTTTCCTTTTTCTTCTTCAATTTCTGCATATATTTTGGTATAATTTTAGTACCCCGGTTCGAGTGAATATATTTTGCATATATGGTTGCATGCATGTCATACCGTTGTCCCGGTCTTCCAGAATAGATGTTTTATTGGATTGGGGAAGTCATTCTGTGAGTAAGAAGAGGGCACAGGATGAGTCGAGCAATAGCAATAGCAAATTACCCCATACAAGTCCCACGAAAGGGGCGAACCGGCAAACCGTTACCCCTGGGGAACCAAAAAAAATATCAACCCTACCAGTAGGGAGGACGACTGGGAGTGAGGTTAGTCATGATTCCAATCCGGACGCAGATCAGCCCGGACCAAACATCCAGCAAACAAAGAAATACTGACAGCAAATACAAACAACCCAGACAGATGAGACACTCATCTCCCAGAAATTCTTGATGATGTAGCGTAGCGTAGGTAGCCTTTTCCGCACCCTGCCTAGCCGCTCCGTACCTGAATATCTGCTGCTGCTGCTGCTGCTGCTGCTGCTGCGCATTCCCCTGGATATGGATAGGTATGGTATGGTATGTATGCCGCGGCCCGCGACGCGGTATGCAACCATGGACTCAGACCCAAAATCCGGGAGTGCATTTTCCATCCCCCCTCCCTGCCCTCTGGGAAGTGCGATTCCAGGAGTGGGCTGGACTTTTACTTGGTGGTTCTTTAGGGGTTGTGCCTTTGTTTTAGTGAAGCTCGAGTCTGGATCTCGGTTCTGGACGAGACTGGGCTTGACTTTAGACTTAGCTCTGAGCTTGACTCTAGACTTGACTCACTCTAGATGGTAAGATTCCAGACTCGATGCTTCAGATCTAGATCTCCAGTTTCGGATTTCGAGATCGCGGAATGGCATCAAGAAGGGACTATGTGAGCGTTTGCTGCGAGAGGAAGACTTTACATTAGAGGTTTACGGTTTTACTTTCGTTCATTGTTTGCAAGTAGTAGCAGACCCCCCAACACCAACCCCTGTTGTTCTTTGTGTGACGGAAACTTTCGGGTGCAGTAACGTTACTGGATGCAAGGGCAGACAGACTCGGGAATGATCTGACAGGTCAGATTGTGTTGGGTGTACTGGACGTAGTTACAGTCCAGTTTTAAGTAATCAGGTACAGTGAGGGTTTGTGCTAGTCGGATGTGGGTTGGTTTGGGGGGTCTTGTTGTTTTATAGGGGTGTTTAGTTGAGCACTCCGATTCTAGCTTGATGGAATTGGTTGATTCGGAAACCCGATCACATGATATGGGATTATATGTGGTGTTGTAGTGTTGGTCATGGGGCCTTGTTGATGCCATCACTTACCGTAGCTAGTGTATAGCATCCCCTATCCTTATCACTTAGGTTGTTCCGTGTGTTGTGTGTACTTTATAACCCACATAGCAGAAGACGCCCAGCGATGATTGGCCCTGCATCGAAGATGTACAGCGGCCAACAGTCAAGCTTTTGTTGAATCATAGGATAACTTCTAGAAAGCCCTATTTACCCATGTTCTCGAAGAGAAAACAACAAGACATCAAGATTCCGTGCTCTAGCTCTGAATGAGAAGCATTCCGACTCTGATCCCACGACTAGCCAGCAGATATACTACAGGGACAGACAGAGCATAAGAACCAAAGCAAGGAAAGGGGTAGGTCAATCGCGCCACGGAAATAAGTACAGTACAGTATAGCACTCAGACAAACTCATCTCCTCGCCCAGTCTCAGAAACGCAAGTCCAGCATAAATCATCACAAAACAACCATCAAACCATACGCCAGCCATTTTCCGCCACCGTCAAAACCCTACAACCGCACATCATCAAAATACTTCCTCCCCTCCTCGCCCAACAGCGCCGCAACGACCTCCTCCAGCTCGACCGCCCCCCGCACCACCCGAACATCGTGTCTCTGCTCATACTGCTTATGCATCACGCCCCCCGGCAGGAAACTCAGCGTCATCTCCACAAACGGCCCGACGGCAGTCTCCGGCAAGAACCGCCCGAAGTACTCCGTCAGATCCTCCTTCGCGACGGGGCGCAGCTCCACCTCGCGGCCCAGCACCTTGGCGAATGCCCGCTGCACATCGACGGACGAATATTCGCGCGGCCCGTGCAGCTCGAACACATACGGCGATGATCCTGCCCGGTCCGTCTCGGTGGACAGAATGCATTTCGCGCTGTGGTAGCCGATGTCTTTGACCGCGACCTGGTTTCCGGGCGTTAGCACCCTGCCCCTACCTTCCTTTTTTAGCATCAGAATGAAAGGGAGGGGACCTTGCCATGGGCACCTCAAACTCCACCGGCGTGATCACCGTCTCCAGAAACGGATGGTCCTTGTGCCGCACCTCCTGCACCGCCGTCGCCCAGTTCTCCATGAAGTACGCGCACCGCATGATCGTCACCTCGGCCGCGGCGTCGCGCAGGATCACCTCCGAGATGTGGTTCGTCATGATTTCGCCCTGCCTCCCCATCCATTCAGGGATGGTAGGCTCCGTTAGCTGGGTAGCTCTATTTAATCCTCAATCCACCCTCCAAGCTGACCACAAAACAGCACCAGGATGAGAGGCAAGCAAAGGAAAGGGGAAACGCACCGTGCCCGCCCCGACCTCCGCCCCCAAGCTCGACAGCAGCACCAGCCGCCGCACGGTGCCGGAGCGCTGGATCGCCAGCCGGATGTTCGTGGACACGGTCGTGGCCCACTCGTCGAGCGGCGTGCGGCCGTCCAGGCACGGCGGCAGCACGAAGAAGACGGTGTCGAAGCCGTGGAAATTCAGCGTCGCGGGCACGGTCAGGTCGCCCGGGTAGGGGTCGAAGTGCGGGTGGTTCTGGAGGGCTGGGGGCACGCGGTGGAAGTTGCGGTACAGGCCGCGGATGTAGTTGGTGTCTGGGTGGGCGAGGAGGGCGGTGATGGTTGCTTGGGCGGTTTGCGGGGAGGCGGGGGCTATGAGGATGCGCATTTTCCCAGGGGTTATGGTTCTGTGGTTGGTTATGGGTGTTGTTGTTTAGTTGGAGGGAGTGGTTGGAGTTATACAGGTGTAAATGATGTATGGAGTCGATGGCTACACTTTTATACGGAGTTAAGTAGGTGGTGATGATGCATGGGCTGCATTGTTTGGGATCGGGATACGAAGAGCACTGCGGGGAAGCATCGGGATCATTGGGTACCGTTCTGCTGCATCCGAGATTCGAGTTACTCGTCCGTGAACCCTAATCGATGACACTTCTCCTAGACATCAGACATTGTAGATGAATGGGTTATACGAGTCCAGGACAGCAACAACTGGCAAGCGACCTCGATGATCTCACCGACCCCGAGTCTAGCCCCAACGCAGTCTAGTCCACCCAGCGATCACGCCATCGTCCACGTGATCCCTGCTGACTAACGCCGACCATCGGCCCTTGTTCCGGGGTGGTGATGGATGATGAGGATGAGCACCCTCATCAGCTGCACTTATCCTCTCCATACTCTCCAGAATAAGCAGCAATGTTCCGCCAGAGTATCCGCCGCTTCGGCACGACCGCTCTCCGCGCCGCGGAAGCCACCTCATCCACCACCGCGGCCGCCGCCTACAACGTCCGGGTCTCGCAGACCCAGGGTGTCGCCAATGGTCTGACGCAAGGTATGTGTACATGTACTCCGTACTTCCGGCGGCCGCCTCTTACCCCAACCCATCACATAACCAACTAACAAAACCCCCCGCGACAGCCATCGGCAACACGCCACTGATCCGGCTGAAGCGCCTCTCCGACGAAACGGGGTGCAACATCCTGGGGAAAGCGGAGTTCCAGAACCCGGGGGGCAGCGTCAAGGACCGGGCGGCGCTGTTCGTGGTGGAGGACGCGGAGCGGCGGGGGCTCCTCCAGCCGGGGGGCACGGTGGTGGAGGGGACGGCGGGCAACACGGGGATCGGGCTGGCGCACGTGTGCCGGTCGAAGGGGTACAAGCTGGTGATCTACATGCCGGACACGCAGTCGCAGGGGAAGATCGACCTGCTGCGGCTGCTGGGGGCGGAGGTGCACCCGGTGCCGGCGGTCGCGTTCGACAACCCGGCCAACTACAACCACCAGGCGCGGCGGCACGCCGAGGCGCTCGACAACGCCGTCTGGACGAACCAGTTCGACAACACGGCCAACCGCCAGGCGCACATCGAGACCACGGGCCCGGAGATCTGGGCCCAGACCGCCGGCGCCCTGGACGCCTTCACCTGCGCGACGGGCACCGGGGGCACCCTCGCCGGCATCACGCGGTACCTGAAGACGGTGAGCGACGGCCGGGTCCAGTGCTTCCTGGCCGATCCCCCGGGCTCCGTGCTGCACAGTTACATTCAGAGTGGCGGCACCTTGGTCGAGCGGTCGGGCAGCAGTATCACCGAGGGCATCGGGCAGGGCCGGGTGACGGACAATTTGTCCCCGGATATCGGGCTGCTGGATGGGTCGTTGAATATCCCCGACGAGAGGTCGATCGAGATGGTGTATCGCTGTCTCGACGAGGAGGGGCTGTACTTGGGCGCCAGCTCGGCGCTGAATGTCGCTGCGGCGCATGAGGTCGCGCTCAAGCTCGGGAAGGGCAGCACCGTCGTCACCGTCCTCTGCGATGGCGCGTACCGCTACGCCGACCGTCTGTTCTCCAACTCCTGGCTGCAGGGTAAGGGGCTGCGCACGGCGGTTCCCAAGCACTTGGAGAAGTACATTGTGCTGCCCTAGGTGGGGTGTGTTTGTATAGTAGAGTGTGTGCATGTGAATAGATAACGAATCATGTTTTGTTCATCCGGTGTATCGGTGGGGAAATAGTAATACTATACAAGAGTAGTGAGTCCATAGACCAGACAAAAGCAGCCGCAGCAGACAATAAAAAAAGGCACGAAGAACGAAACGCCATCATGCACCCATTTCTATCCCGAAGAAAAAACGTAACGCCAACCCATGTATAGAACATGTACAAGTAGCAGCCACCACCACCACCACCACCACCCTCCATCACCTCCATCATTGAAAAGAGATTCTAATCATCATCCGCCGGCATCCGCATATAAGCATCAATGGCGGCACTAAACGCCGCGAAACCGGCACACCCCGCCGCAGCAGCCTGGGGCCCGGCCTTGGCCCCCAGAATCCCGCCGGTGATGCACCCCGCCGCGACGCTGTTGGTGAGGTCGTTCTTGGCCCGCAAGCCCTCGATGCAGCACTCGGTGCCCGAGTAGAGCGCGCCCACGATGCCGAAGTTCTTGGCCGACGACCACGAGCGCGAGCCCATGTCCTTGAAGCCGCGGCGGACCTGTTCGCGCCAGGGGAGGTCCATGATCGCTTTGCCTTGGGGGGTGAAGGTGGAGTCGTAGGACATCTGTTGGATTCGGTTGTTAGTGGTTGTTGGGTGGTGTTAGGGGCTGAGGGCTGAGGCTGAGACTGAGGCTGCGAGATTGGCAAAGCAATCCCATCCCAGTGTCCCGTCTAGCCCTTTCCGACTTCCTCGCAAGGATATATGTGTGAACGGGGTAGGGGTAGGAGGAACGAGAGGCAAAACATACACTAGCCATAAACAAACCGAACACACCACCCAGACCGAAACCCATCGTACCCGAGATGACCGTCTTCACGGGGCAGGATTCCATCGCGCCGTACATCTGCATTTCCGGAGAATTCAAGTCAGCAACCCTATTCTTTTTTCTTTCGGAGGGACTCGTTGTCAAGTCAAGCGTACCAGCTTCACCATCGCTTGCTCCTGCTCGCTCATGCCCTGCATGTTCGGGCCGCCGCCCATCCCTCCGAGGGGAGGGGTCACGCTGGGGAAACTCATGCTGTGCGTGATCGAAGTGAATGAGGTGTTGACTTGAGGTACTGGAGTCAACGGTGGAGACAGCCGATATGACAAAGTGAGGATGGAGGGAGTGGATGGTCGATACCGAGCTCTCTATCGCGCCCCGGACTTTTTACGGAGACGGAGTGGCGGCCCTCGCGCAAATTTATTCACGGCGCGCCGTTGCGCCCACTTGCGCAGCTTGCACGTGATACCCTCTCGAAAGGAATCTATACTCCGTACTCCGTACTCCGTGCAGGACTCTACAAACGACATTGGCGCAGGATATACTCGGTAGATCATACGGTATAGTTGTCAATCCATTTGTATCAGCTATATCTAACAGACAACAGTCACGGCCGTATATCCAAAGCCATCAAAGCCAAAATAAGTCAACGAGTGAAAGAATGTAATAAACGCTCATCGTAAAGGGTATTGCGATCAACAATCATAACCCTGCGTAAATCCGTACTGGCTTCATGTCCGATGGCTGCAGCCCATCGTCTACCGTTCGATTCAAGATCCAGGGCGCAAGCCTCATGTGCTGTATTTACAATGTGCCGGAATCAATCCCGCTTGTCGTCCTTGTCGGGGAAGATTTCCCTCCTCTCCGGCGAGGGACTCAGACTGCGCTCCCACTCCGCCATCAGGTTCGACGCCGTGCGGGTCAACTTCGACGGCGCCAGTTTGGTCATCGCCGGCCAGGGAATCCCGTCGGAAACGCTGGGATCCGGAATGCTGGTATCGTGCAGCGGGCGCCAGTCGCCAAAGCTAGGTGGTTTCCGTCAGGATGATACCCTTCAAAAATGAAAGACAAAACTTACCTGGCGCTGGTGCGGGGACTGCTGTTCTGCGTCATCGGCGACTGGTCATGCTTCGTCTCCAGTGTGCTGCGACTGGACGACGGCGTGTGCGTCTTCTTCGGCTTCGGAGACTCCCACTCCCAGTTGTCTTCAACGTCCGGGGGGTTACTGTGGTCGCCCCATCGGGGTTCGTTCGGCCCGCTTGGGGTAGTGGCGGCTCCGCGAGCGCGAGGGGACTTCTGCCCAGGTGGATCAATGCCGAATTCACTCCAGAACGACGAATCGATATCCGCCGATTTAGAGTCTTTACCAGAATGTTTGCCCCCAGACCCCTTGCTCCCCGAGGAGGACCGCGACAGCGTAGCCCCTCCGTAGACCGACAACCGATCCCGACTGCGCGATGTCGAACTGGACGATACCCGCTGGCGCACCGGCGGCACACCCCGCGACTCGGTTGCACTGATTCCCTCTTCTCCCACCGTAGCTTGTCGAATGTCCTCCAAGAACGTCCAGAGTCCTTCCTTCAAATCCGATGCCATCTGCTTGCCGGTCCGCACGAGGGCATCGCGCGACGGGGGCGGCATGGTGTTCCGCCACTGCGAAATCACGTCATCTGCAGGTTTCGAGCTCACGCCACCCGCAATGGCATTGCGTTCGACAGAAGAGGGTAATGTCGCCGACCGCGGGGACCGACCGATCCGTTGACTGCCAGCCTCCGACTCTGACCCCGTCTTGCTCTCCCCAGATCCCGTCGTTGGGGAAAGCAAGGACAGGGCCCGAGTGTGGGAACCTCGGAAAACCCGCCGGCCGTTGGCAGAAACGTTGGTGCCCTTGGTCGCGGCCGCGCGGAGGCTCTGCCGCCGCTCCAGCTCCCGGCTGAGGCGGACCTGGGCCGCCGACGAGCTGCCTGCACTGCTCACACTGTGGTCTCGGCGATGTGGGAAAGTGGGCTCGTCAGGGGATCGCAGGGAGACCAACGGCTCGGCACGATGGCTGATCTCCGTGCGTTTCTTTGTCTTCTCGGTCGACGCCCACTGCTTTTTCAAAGAGTCCAGCTCCGTCTCGGCCCGGTTCAGCTCTTCCCGAAGCTCCAGCACTTTTCTCTCCTGAGAGGCGATTGCGGTCAGCAGACCCGAGCCGTCATCCTTTTCCTCAAACGCCAGCGGGGTTCCGAGATGGGGGGCGGGCGAATGATGAGCGGAGGTCCGTGTCACGGGCGTCATCGATCCGGGAGACGCAAGACTCGGGTCGTAAGCTTCAGGTCCGGAGGGGATGTTGATGGGAAAGTTGAGGGTGAGTCGCTTAGCGTGTCTGGCAGCACCATGGGGGCGAGGTGGGAGGGAAGATCGCTTGAGTTGGGTGGGAGTCCGGCCGGTCGGCGATGCAGGGTGAGGGTGATGGTTGAGCTGGTCAGGCGACGATGGCAGCAGCTGCGCTGTTTGGGACGTTTCCGGCGCAGTTTCCGCCTCGCCCGTTCCCGGGAAATCCCCCATGACGGGCCAGCGTATGGAGGTCGTGCGCGAAGCTGATCAGGGTTCGGGATTTTTTATTGACAGATCAAGAGCGTATTCATGACATTCATTCCCTTGGAATTGGGAGAAGAGGGGGAAGGGGAGAAGAGGAGAGAAATGCGAGGCCCACCACCACAGTCGAGGGGAATTGCAATTGTTGGCTGATAAGAAAAGAATGTATGTACGTATGTATGTATGTATGGGCCCGTCAGCAGTGATAAACAATCACAATCATCAATGACAACAATAACAACACAAAGGACAGTGGGCAGCAACCAGACTGGACACGGAACGGAAAGAAAATGGAATTAAAAGCAGAGAAGAAAGGGAGAAGAAGAAAGGAGAAAAGGAAGCGAGGGAAAGTTTAGACAGAGTAGGTAAGGGAAGGGAAGGACTAGACCCAACACGGGGGGGGCTCGTTGGGTGAGTGAAGTTCAGTTCACTTAGTAAAAGACGGTGATTTCGGTAGCGGGTCGCAACGCGCATCCCTTCCGCCTCCGCCTCTTCCAGTTCCCGTCTCAGGGGAGAGGGAAATTGAGAGAGAGAGAGAGAGAAAGACAGAGAGCATGTTCTTTGCCACTCCGTAGTGACGTCTGCGTTGGCATAATTTGCACAGATTAGTGTACCCAAAAGATATCTAGGTACTCGTAGTACAGTCCCAAGACATGCATATCTTGAAAAGCAATGCCACCAGGGCAAACTGCAAACTGCAAACTGCAAACGGAGTATCACGATAAGGATCATCATGTGGTTGACAGACAGCCCCCAAGCTGAAACCGCCAAATACTGCCCAGCACGAGTCGCTCCACGCGGGTGGCCAGTTTGATTACTCCGTCTATCTTTACCTGCTTCTGGCCCTCCCTTGTCTTTATTTCCATAGCAATGAGGGGGGTTGTAAAATTGCCCAATTGCATTACTATGTCCACAATTTCATATACACGCACGCATGCAAGAATCAACTTCGCCTTACTTACAAATCCCACCAATTATTATCTCACACCTTGCCAGAAAATTGTCCAACAAAAATAAACAGATGCAGACACACAAGGAGAACCTATGACAAGAAAAGAATGAAGAGTAAATCACAAGCTCGCCAGAATATCGGCTTCGCAGAAATATAACCAGTAAAAGTCCTGAACGCCGGAACCGAGCCCTATCCGACTGTCAATTGGTACATAGGAAATTATAGTCGTTGGTTGACCAAATATCACAAACGCAAAGAGATCCGATGTCAAAGAGAGCGACCACGATGCCCTCATGGTCGGTCTCTCGCCAGACGAGACGAGTCTGGGGTATATCGTCGTCCGAAACTGTCTCCTTTGGGTCTGGTTGACCAGCAGCAGACCCGAAGTGCGAGAGATTAGGACCCGTGTATCAACAGGCCATGAGAGCACAAACAATACCAAGTGAGGGGGAATAATGCAACAATGAAGGAAAAGAAACAGCGCATAGAAAAAGAAGACCGCGGGCGGCCAGGTGGCCGAATATTTCAACGCCTCATGTGAGCCCAAATTTTTGTACAATGATGAATCTGTTGTCTCGCGCTGAGATCCGTGAGGTTCGAGATCTCCAGATCGCAGTATGCAAGGGGTTGAAGGAAATGCAGCGAACCAATTCTAGATTCCGGGCCATCGGTTGCGCAGGCCTTCGGACCAACGCTGATAGAGCACGTCTGACAACTGCTTGGTGTGTTCCATACCCGGCACCTGTTGCCCGGGGAGGTTTGCAAGCTGGGTGGGTTGAAGGCTAGGCTCGGCCACTGCGGCGCTCTGGCGGCGCCGGTGGGATTTGAGGTGTGGGTTGCTCTGCGCCAAAACCAGTCGCGGCCTCTGTGGGGAATCGCCCGGTGGAGCTGCGGGTGGGACGAGACTGGCCAGCTTCGGGTCACTAAACCATCCACCAACACGAGCGTTGTTAGCAACCCAGAAACTTTATTTGACAAGTACTAGTACTGCAGGGGAGGCACGGGTGGCACGGGTGGCACGCTTACCTCTGTAGCTTCTCCGTCGTCGCTCGGAGGATATGATAGAGTCCCTCGGGATCGACCATCTCCAGATCACTCCAGGCCTCCGCCAGCCGTGAAATCGCTTCCCGCTTCTCTTGGTCGCCCGTGGTCCCCAACACTTCCTGGCAGGCGAGCCCGACCGCCTTGCTGTACGCCCGACGCCCCAGTTGTGCTTCCTTGCTGTTCGGCTCGGAGAACAGCGTCTTCGGACTAGCATTTTCTTCCCCTCCGAAAAGGTACTGCGGCGGGTAAGATGCGTCGCTGGGGCTCTTGTTGTCCGACACCCGACGGAACTGCCGCACCGTCGATGGGCTGTTGCCGAAACTCATATCCACTCCGAGAGGCTGCTTCACTCCACTCGACTGTCGCTTGGCCCGTCGAATTGATGGGCTGTGGTCGGGAGCTTGAGTTCGTCGTACTGCGGTGTTGGTCGCATGCTTTGACGGAGGGCTGGACACATAAAGATCGTCCATGTCGGCGGTTTCGTCGAAAACCCAGTCTTCCTGTGGCTCGGGCTCGGGCTCATTCTCCTCGTCGTCTTCGACTTCACGTATAGTCGCTGTAGAAGCTTTCACCGTGTCGAAAATCCATCCATCGTCGTCGTTCAGGTTCCGAATAGTATTCCTGTGCGACAGAAACAGTCAGTACGAAAAGCATGGGCAATGGAACTTGGATTTGCATACAGCGACTCCGCATAATACTTAATCTTGTGGGTCACTCCTCGTCCAGCATCGAAATCCTGCTTGCGATGAATCAACTCTTGTAGTGCCTCCGTCTTTCCCGCATTGCGAATGAATTTGTGCCGTAGAAGCTCCTTCGCGCTCGGTCGCCGATCGGGATCTTTGGTCAAACACTGTGTGATGAAGTCCTTGAATGTATTGCTGTACTGATCTCCCTGTAGGCGCGGGGCGGGTTCTTTGGGAATAAGGAAGAGCACCTTCATGGGGTGGGTGCTCGCATGGGGTGGCTCGCCGTTTATCATTTCGATTGCAGTAATTCCGAGCGACCAGATGTCCGCCTTATAATCATACCCAGACTGTTGAATGACTTCCGGGGCCATCCAGAATGGTGTTCCGACAAATGTGTTGCGCTGGGATTTGATGTTGATCAATTGCGCGGCAACCCCGAAATCCGCTAGCTTCACTTTGCCCGTGTGCGACAGAAGTACATTGGCGGCTTTGATGTCGCGGTGAATCTTGCCTTCGCTGTGCAGGTAGTCGAGTCCGAGTAGCAGTTGTTGGCAAATAATGGCGACGTGTGCTTCGTTGAAGACTCCGGGTTTGAGCTAGAGAGTATTAGCGGAGGGGACGGAGCTGAGCTGACTCCTCAGCTGCGGAGGTGCTGGGTGGGTTCTTACCAGGTCCAGACACGATCCTCCACCGAGGAATTCCATGACAATCCACAACTTATGTCCTCGAAGAAAACTAGCCTTGTATTGCGTGACGAATGGACTGGCGCAGGTGGCAAGAACCGAGATCTCCTGCTGGATTTCCTGAATATCATCTTCGCTGGACTCGAGATCGATCTAGAAAGGCCGAAAGTGGTCAAACGGACGATCGGACAAAGAAAGAGACCAGTCACACGCACATGCTTGATCGCTACGATCTCGCCCGTAGCCTTGTCAATGGCTTTGTATACCGTTCCAAAGCTACCACCTGTAGCATGCTGGTCAGCCGTCATCGGCGCAATGGGCTCAATTGGAAGGCAAAGACTTACTGCCCAGCTCTTCCATCATCTGGTAGTGACTTGCCATATCGTCCTCCATTTTTGTCGCGTGCAAGCCGTAGCTGGAGGGCTATCGGCGCAGGTGAAGAATCTGGGAGAGATAGCTCAGAGAAACAAATAGAAAAGAGAAGGGGGAAAGAAGCAAAAAAGAAGAAAAAGAAAAGAGAGGAGAGCTAAAACAGGGCACACAAGGGGGGGCACCCGCACTGCCAGTCAGCTATTTATTTCCTGTCCGGCGAAAGGACGGATGGAGCTGGAGCTGGAGCTGGAGCAAGGACGAGTGGAACCTGGCCCTGTAGATAGAGGATAGAGAAATGAGGGGGAAAGAAGTGGGAAGATAGCGAGTGCTTCGATAGGATCGATACCTCGACTACTACAACCGTCCTCTCAAAGTCTCAGCCTAGTGACCAGAAAGTGCCCCATTCTTTTCTACTACTGGCAGCCGCTCCTCTTCCATGGTACGCGGCAGAGACAACAGGCGGCGGTAGTGCATGGCAACCATGGATCAGCTACCGAGTCACCGCCTCGGGCACCGCAGGACCGCTGGTATTTCCCGGCCTTGATTGGGTGCAAAATTCCCCGTTTACGGCTGTTGCCTCAGGCACGACTGCAAGACCGCAACCCGCAGTACCCCAGCCCTGCATGGTGCAAGTGATGCAGATGGGGCATGCAGCCCGCCAGGTACAGGGAGGTCAGCAGGACTTCATCGGTATGGAGAAATATGATCCAGCAAATTAAATATCCGCTTTGGTATATTTTACAGATTCCTCAGACTATAAACTTGGTCCAGCTTTTCCCACCCTCAAACCCCTCTGCAACACATTTACAATTCATCGCGTGGTGCCAGGGTAGCGTGTCCGGTTCTAGATATACTTATACGGGTTCATGATTCCGTTCTGTATCGACCAGCCAGTTAGTTTTAGTCCCAAAGCACAATGCAAGAAAATCAACAGGGAGTCATGATCCTTACCGGGTCATACAAGTTCTTCAACTGCTTCATCAACTTCACCATCGTCTCATTCTGGCTGTATCCGATGAATTCCTTCTTGGCCAGACCCAGGCCGTGTTCTGCGCTGATGCTACCTTTGCGCTGCTGGATCCACTCATACACCCAAGGCTCGATGGCCTTCTCGACTTCCTTGTTGTACTGCCGCACAGAAATGTTCAAGTGCAGGTTGGAATCACCCATGTGACCATAGCCGACAACGGCCCGAACAGGGAAGGAATCGTCATCTCCCACGAAGCCAAGCTTCGTCAAACGCTCCTTGCAGTCCTCAACCAGCTGGTACAGCTCGGGCAGAGGAATGGAGACGTCATACTTGTAGGTCCCGCCCAAGTGGCTCAAGGCCTCCGTAATACCCTCTCTCCACCGCCAGATCGAGTGGAATTGAGTCTCATCCTGAGCCAAAACACCATCCGCGACAATGCCCTCACCCATGACGTGTTCCAAGAAGGTCTCCAGCTTAGCCATATCATGCTCAGCGTTAGAACCACTGGTCTCCACCAGACAGTAGAAAGGATACTCGGTTTCGAGGGGATAGTTGTTGCCAGTCGACTCGTGAACCAGCTTCTGAGTGCGCCCATCCATCAACTCGAAAGCGGAAAGGATTTCGGACAGGTGTCCCTTGGCCTCCTGGTAAGCCTTGCGGACCTGGTCATAGCTCTCCACTCCGAAATACGCGACGTTAACGGCCTTGGGGCGAGAAGGACATTGAATAGAGACCTTCGTAATAATGCCAATGGTACCTTCGGCGCCAATAAACAGTTGCTTCAAGTCATAGCCAGTGTTGTTCTTGCGCAGGGTCGACATAGCATCCACGACGGTTCCATCTGCCAGCACCGCTTCAACACCAAGCACAGTACCGTGAAGACTGCCATAGCGGAGCAGACGCAGACCACCGGCGTTGGTGGCAACGTTACCGCCGACATGGCATGAGCCCTTAGCACCCAGGTCCAGCGGGAAAAGGTGGTTCCGCTCGGCCAAGTACTGGTCAGCTACCTCCAGGATAACACCAGAGTCAACCACCAAGACTCCGGACGCTTCATCGAAGGAGTGGATCTGGTTCATGCGGGAAAGGTTGATGACGATCTCGTCGAAGACGGGCACGGAGCCTCCGACCAATCCCGTGTTGCCTCCCTGGGGCACAACAGCCAACTTCTTCTCATTACAGTATTGTAGCACCTTGCTAACCTCCTCGGTGGTCTGGGGCTTCAGGACCAACTTGGTCTGGCCACGGTACTTGCGCATCCAGTCGCTGTTGAAGGGTTCGATATCATCAGCGTTGTCGGCGGTCACTCCATCGATCACGGCGGACTGTGCGCCCAGCAACTCCTTGAAGAATTTGACATCGTCGGCAGAGATTTCGGCGAACTTCGGGTCACGCTTGAGGTTGGGATAAGCATTGGTGGTGTACTGAATCTCCTTGGTCGCATTGGCGCTGGCGGTAACAGTGAAGGTGCGTGTGGCGGCGAAGGAGGGAGTCTGGACCGCAGCGACAGGGCGGAACAAGCAGCGAGGCTTGGGCACACGAGCCCTTCGCAGAGCGACTGAAATATTCCTGGCACCGGACATGGTGGGGTGTGGAGTGGGAGGTGAGGGAGAGGAGAAAAGCACTGGAAGAGTCAATAGAGCGGCGAGCGGCGAGCGGCCATCTAAAAAGCCTAACTTACCCCCCGATGGCGGAGATGGAGTCGTCGTCTCGGCTTGGAGTCAGCGGCGCCGAACGGTCTTTCCGTCCCGACGGATGTCGTGGCCTCAGGCAGAGAAAAGGTCCGATCCGCGGGAACCTGAATAGTAATTAATCACTTGCCTCGAACTGAAGTCGGTGGTCGATAGAGTTAAGCAGTGGGTAGCTTAAACTACTCTGTTCTCTAAGTTAATTCAACGAAGTATATGCAGTATATACCCGACATATGTCAGAAGTAGAACCACGTGGTAAATTCCCAGTAGAAGCTATCCAGCTTGAGCCAGTCGATTCTCAACAAGGTGAGCACTCGTACTCTTGTCTGTATTGTACCCTCGTCGTCACATGGTGATCCTCCTCCATCTCAACGATCCATTGATTGACCAGTGCTCAATCGGGATCTGATCACGCCTACCAAGGGCGAGGGGCAACAGCAAGCGACAAGCATCATGGCTGCCAGGTGGAAGCCCAACGGTCCTTCTGCAGCGATGCCTGTTGAGGGAAAAGAGCGACAAGCGTCGCCAAGCCCGTCCGTCACTGGACGTTTGTGTCATCTCCCTCGTCATCCTCGATGAATAAGCCGATGCAGTAACAATAATAGTACTCCAGGGTACCTGATCAGTGATCACAGTCGCCGCGGAGGACAGCTCTCCACGAATCCACCGCCCATCGACCTTCCTCGACCCTCATCGAAGCATCGAACCAGCGATCCCTCGATCCAGACCCGATCTCGTCTCCCTTCGGTGTGTCTTTTCGAGTGAAACCACCACGCGGTTCTTGTTACGTCATTACAGGTGCCCCGCAGTCGACCAGAATCTCTTCTTCCTCGTCCCAGCTTCTCAAAGCTCGATTCTTTTCCATCATGTCCTCTTCTGACAACCCCATTGCAAACATGTCTACCTGTGTTCTTGTTACCGGTGCCACTGGCCTTTTGGGCCGCCAGGTCTTCAATACTTTCAAGCACTCCGGATGCCTCGTCGTCGGCCAAGGCTACTCACGAGCCATCCCACCCACGATACAGAAGGCTGACTTGGAGAACCCCGATGCGATCAAAGCTCTCCTTGACGAGGCGAAGTAAGTTTTTCTGCCCGGCTGAAGCTGTAATTTGTGCACCACAATTTCTCTAGTGGAATTCCAATGCCAATACTGACCTGTTGTAGGCCTCAGATCGTTGTCCACTGTACGTGATGCCAGGCTTGCAAAAGCAACTGATTTGTCCCTGCTTGGATTCTGACCTTTGCAGGTGCCGCCAACCGGTCTCCCGACTTGTGCGACAAGAACCCTGAGCAAGCGCGTCGAGTCAACGTTGACGCCACCCGCGTTCTCGCAGAGGAAACGTCGCGCCGTAGTATCCTGCTCATCTACATCTCGACCGACTACGTTTTCCCCGGAGTTGAGGGGGAAGCCCCGTACGAGGCCGATGCGGAGACCAATCCGCCCAATATGTATGGCCGGTTGAAGCGGGATGGTGAGCTGGCAGTACTGGAGGCTACGAAAGAGACTGGTCTTGGGCTGATCCTTCGCGTGCCCGTACTGTACGGAGTGGCCAAGGACAACTCAGAGAGCGCCGTCAACACTTTAATCGATGCGGTGTACAAAGCACAAGATGAGAATGCGGGGATCAAGATGGACGACTGGGCACAGCGGTACCCGACCAACACGGAGGACGTCGCTCGGGTGTGCCGTGACATTGTGATCAAGTATATCAAGGAACGTCGTCGCATCCAAGAGCTGCCCAAGATCTTGCAGTTCTCGTCCGAGGATCGGATGACCAAGTACGAAATCTGTGAGAAGCTAGCGGATGTGCTCGGACTGTCCCTGGTAGGGATGATCAGGAACAAGGAGGGGAATGACCCCAACTCGGCCGTGCAGCGTCCCTACGACGTGCATCTGTCCACTAAGGTGCTGAAGGATCTGGGGATTGAAGTTCGGACTGTGGACTTTGTGGCATGGTGGTAAGTAGACGCCTGACATGTTTGTGTGTATGTGGCGGAATCTAACACTGAATTACAGGCGGAAGTACCTAGGAGCGTACAAGAAATGAGTGGCGGCCTAAAAACACCAAGGATTCCAAACGAAAATTGAGGTATAGAGATGCTGGCGGTGGTAAAAAGTCCTTTTGAGGTTGCATCCTAAACGACCGCGATGTCCATGGATTATTGGTTAATCACCGACTAATGAGAAATAGCTCGCTAATAGCATGCAATATTATGTATTATGATGATACAATATACGTTTGTTTGTGCTTGTGTTGTGCTTGTGTTTGTAGTTGTGTTTGTACTGTACAGTACTTGTGCTTTAGTGTGCTGTCCAGCAATCAGGAGAAAGACGAGCTGGGTTGAATTTGACAGTTTGGGGGTGGCTCAGAAATAGCGCATTTACCGGGGGGGTGAGGGGGGGATGAGACCCGGGCCGGGAAGTAGTCAGTGGTGGTGGCTGAGGCTATGGCATGGCAGTGATCCACTCGGATCTACTAGCCATCACTTTGATTGTTGGTTGATAGACAAACAATCCAGAACTATAGAGTCGATCTCAGTGTGGACACAAAGCATAATCGTATTTATAGTGAACGGAGATCCCATGTCAAAGGCAGATTCTTCTATCATTCGAGAATAACCCTGAGCAGAGGCAAGTCTATCTCTTCTAGCAATCCATTTGACTTTCGTTCCTCACAGTCTGGGGCAATTGCGGGCAATACTGGGGCCAAGCCTAGCCTGACCGAAAACAGCCGCTCTCTATCTCTATCTTAGTCTAGACTTTTTTTTTTCATTTTAATTTTATCAATTTTTCATCTTATTTTTTTGGGTCTCAGTTTGGCTGTCTTTCCCCAGCCGTCATGGAGGATGCTCTTGAGATCACACGAACATTTTAATTAATTTAAGATCTCGAGTTCAGGATCACCTGCCAGCCCAATGGGATCTTTATCCTGACCTATAGTAAAATTCTTATTCATCGGAAATTCCAATCCCTTCCCGTCCCTTTGGAGACTTCTTCCCTTTCGTCTTTGCTACTTCAAAGTTCCACCAAGCCCTTCTCCCCCCTTACATCGAGCAGGTGGTGGTCAAGAAAAGAAAAGAAAAGAAAAAAAGAAAAAAAGAACACCACCCACAGACAATTCAGAGGGGAAATAAGCAAAAAGTAAACCCAGAAGGAAAAAAATAAATACTTTAAAAAAAAAAAGGAATAGAAACGGATTTGTCTGAATGCAGCCTATTCGTTTCTGTCCGTCCGTCTGAGTTTGGCATTGCTTCTTCTTCTCAGTTCCTCCCTCCACTATCTTTCTTGACTCCGTCCCGCGGTGGAAATTAGACCCTTTCGTTGCGAGGCCGTTTTCCGCTCTCCACAAAAAAGTGCCTGGACAATGCGTTCTTGACGGAATCTAGCATCGTGGTCCCTCAGTTACACTCACCAGCTTCTGTCCAGTGTCTGTTCTCTTCCCTTCCTTCCTTTTTCCTTCCTGCCTGCCCACCTTCATTCATCACTTCTCCTTCTTGAAACTCCCTCCCCTCCCTCTCCCCGCCCCCCCTTTCTGCGTTCTATTTTTTCTCTAGGAAGAAACAGAACTCTCCTTTGCTCATACTTCCCCCCCACCCTCTCTCTACCCCCTCATTGTACGGGGAAGTTTCCAAGTGAAGCCGTGATTGTATCCCTGTGAAACATGTCTGCAACGTTTAGGGGGTGGAGACACGCGAACACTCATTATTTGACCCAAATCCTTCTCCCTTGTGTCGACTGGATCGACCAGTAGACCCTTTCTGCCTCCCTTGTGAAATCCTGTCCTCTTTTCTCAGTGACTGCTGTCAACACGTTGCTGCAACTTGATCACTTCCGGAACCTTAGCGACTGACCCAGCTGCCACCAACAAACCGCAGGCTGCCTGATATCATCGTCATTGCGGCAGTTGGAGCTAAAGCAGCCAAGTGACTTTTTTTTCGGCCTTACAGGGAAAAGAAAAGAGAGCTAAAAGATCCATCGCAATTTAAAACCTGTTTCCAAACGCGCGCCATCGGCTACTTGACGCAATTGACAGTCTTGCTCTGCGATTTCTCTGTGACCGTGTGACGCCAAAGAACATATGCCTGGGCAGCAATTGAGATACTACCACACTACCAGTATATCTACACTTCATAGATCAGCAGCGCAGAACGGGTTTCTTTCCCTTTCCCCCACACTTCGATCAACTACTACTTCTACTACCTTTGGCTCTTTCCCTTTGGTTCTCTGCCTATAATCGCAGTGGGACTCTTTCCCAGCCATGACCATGGAGACACCAGACATGATGTCTGCTGGCCAGCATGCAGCACCCATGAAATTTTCGCGATACCGAAGTGTACGAAAGGCGGCGACCAAACAGCCACCAGCATTACCACCACCGCCAACTGGAACGTCCAAATTCCACTCCCCGCCACCTCCACTTGCTCACCCGCCAATCGCTGCACTTCCGGCCTCGCTGTCGCATGACCATGCCGCCAACGCCGATGCCGCCGCCGCAAACAATAATAGCAGCACTGCTATTCAAAGAAGCATGTCGCGGTATCGTCGCAGAAACCCGCCGCCTACGCAGCAGCCCTCAGAGGCTACATCACAGCCTCCTTTGCCCACTTCTGCACCCGGCTATAAATCACAGGTAGCAAGCAATGGCACCTCGGTCTCGCAACCTCCGCAGGATCGACCCGAGGAAACAGAAATGGCTCGTATTCGACAAAAGTTGGCCCTAAGACTAGCCACCCGAGAAAAACGGGTCCCCGATGACAGCGAAGACGAAGATGCCGAGCGCCACAGACATCGACAGAATGCAATGGACCGTCTGACTGGAGGTGAGGATGTACCGACTTCCAACCCCTTCGAGACAATCACACGCGACAAGCCAGTCACGGAGGTGCGTGAA